GAAGAAAACAAATCCTACCATTTGCAATAACATGGATGGAGCTAAAGGGTATTATGCTCAGTGAAAAAGCCAGGCAGAGAAAGACAAGAATCAAATGATTTCACTCACCTGTGGAGTATAAGAACAAAGAAAAAACTGAAGGAGCAAAACAGCAGCAGACTCACAAAACCCAAGAATGGACTAACGGTTACCAAAGGGAAAGGGACTGGGGAGGATGGGTGGGAAGGGAGGGACAAGAGGGAAAAAGGGGCATTACGATTAGCAGACATAATGTGGGGAAGGCAGTATAACACAGAGAAGACAAGTAGTGATTCTATAGCATCTTACTAGGCCTGATGGACAGTGACTGTAATGGGGTATGTAGGGGGGACTTGGTGATGGGGGGTGTCTAGTAAACAATGTTCCTCATGTAATTGTAGATTAATGATACCAAAATAAAAATTAATTATTAATTAAAAAATAAAAAGATGGCTAAGGCGGAGAAAGACAAGTATCAAATAATTTCCCTCATTTGTGGAGTATAACAACGAAGCCAAACTGAAGGAACAAAACAGCAACAGACTCACAGACTCCAAGAAGGGACTAGCAGTTACCAAAGAGCAGGGGTAGGGGAGGGTTGGTGGGGAGGGAGGGAGAAGGGGATTCAGGGATATTATGATTGGCACACATGGTGTCAGAGGGATCAGGGGGAAGACAGTGCAGCACAGAGAAGGCAAATAGTGACTCTGTGGCTTCTTACTACACTGATGGGCAGTGACCGCAATGGGCTATGAGGGGGACATGATAACGGGTGAATGTAGTAACCACATTGTTTTTTCATGTGAAACCTTCATAGGAGTGTATATCAATAATACCTTAATAAAATTAATTAATTAATTTTAAAAAAAGATAGTGGTTAGAAGCATGAGGAAAGTTGAAGGATAATTATTGCCAAGCAGCATAATTCAAAGAACTGAATATTTGCTCTAATGTGCAAATAGTACACATTATTTTTATTGAAAATGCTTTTAAATATTAGGAGCTGTTATTTGTCTATTACATAAATAAAGCAGAGTTTCTAAGATTAAAAAAAATGTTTTCTGGCCATAAAGAAGTTAGTTAGAAATCAGTAACAAAAATTTGTAGAAATTCCAAAGCACATATGTGTAAATAATATGTACAAAAAAATGTATGATGCCACAGTGAAAATTTTTATGTATTTAAAATTTAAAGAAAATGAAAATACTACATATCAAAATTTGTAGAATGCAGGTAAAATGGCATTTCAAAAATAAAATATTACCTAAAATGCTTACATTTGAAAAGAACAGCTAAAAATTAATAAGCTATATTTCCTGCTTAAGATGTTAGAAAAAGAACAGTACGGAAGGAAATGATGAAATAGGAACAAAAATTAGTAACTTGAAAGCAAAGATACGATATATTAACTCAAGCCAAAAAAGTTCTTTTTAAAAAATAAAATGCATAACATGGTGAAATTGATCAGGAAAAAAGAGAAAGATAAAGAAGCAAAATTAGGAACAAAAAAGTGGGGGAGGGGCTTTCATTAGCGATACAGCCAAGTTGTAAAAAGATGCGGAAACCTAAACACATATTATTAAATGAAAGAAGCCAGTCTGAAAAGGCTACAAACTATGATTTCAACAATATAATATTCTGGAAAGACAAAACTCTGGGGGCAGTAAAAAGGTAGTAGTTGGAGCAGTAGCACAAAGGATTTGTAGGGCAGGAAACTGCTGTATGTATGATACAATACTTGAAAACTTAAAATGAATTATTTCCTGAGGGGAAAAGTAACCAAAAAACTATCTCAGAAGAAATAACCATTTAATAATAGTCTAATAGTCAAAGAATTCAGAGCAGTAGTGAAAACCTGCAGGGCAAAAATAAAACCAAGACTACCACTCCCCAAAAAGCAGGTACAAATAGCTTTAGAATGAGCTCTACCAAAACTCTCTAATCAATCAATCAAACCATACAAACTTCCTGAGAATAGGCAACAATCATAAACTTATTTTGTGAGGCCTGAAAGCCTTGGAACCAAAACAGACAAGAAAGGTAGAAGAAAGGAAAAACCACAAGCCAAATTAACTAATACATTACATGACGGCATCTGTTGGGAGTCCAATTCACAGAACTCTGGGCATCACAATCAAATTAGGACAGGTTATCCATTAAGATAGATTATCCGTTGTGGGATAATTTTATTTCTCTAGATTGTTAAACTCAGGCATGACCATATGATTTGCTTTGTGCAAAAAATGAGTGAAAGTGGCCTGCATTTCTGGACAAAAGCATAAGAGCCAGTGTATCTTTGCTATGGTTACCAGCATGGTTCCAGATAGTGGGTATTCTGCCAGCCTGTGTGCTGCTGGAATGAGGAAGATGATAAGGCAGGACAGAGTCCCCAGCTGATTTAAGGTTGTTGATCCACAGTGAGGTAAGTCATTTCAAGTCACATAGATCTGAGGGTTGTTTGTCACTACTAGGTTCTAACCTATCTCGATTCATACAAGCCATGGAGTCATTGACCAGAATGAGTTACAGCTACATGTGCTGACTTAGAAATATGACCGCGGTATATTATACTAAGTGAAAAAAGCAAGTTGCAGGAAAAAATGTAGCATTTATCTTTGAAAGCAATAGAGAAAGGTTTGAAAACAATATTTTTTAGTTTAGACATCTTTTTTCTAAATATAATCAGAGTAAAAGCTAACCTCAGCAAATGGAAAAACCCTAGAAACAGTCTCCTTAAGGTTAGGAAGACAAGGTTATCCACCATTACCACACTAATTAATATTCTGAACCTATGATAATTAGAAAAAACTACAAAAACAATGGGCGAATTCAATAAAGTACCTGGGTAAAAAAATTAGTATACTGAAAATTAACATATAAATTATCTGTATGCATTTCGGAATTCCCACACTTTTTTCACTTCTAACTTAATTTTATGGCCAGAAAACATGATATGCTGTCTTTTTTTGTTTCAAAGAAATTCTGGTTATTAGGAGGCTTAAATGAAATAAAGACAGAAACATTTAGCAAAGAGCATGCAACATAGCTAAGAACTTAATAAGTAGTCAATATTATTATTTCTCATATCCTGGTTTGCCACATAGTTGGAACTTTCAAAATACCACTTCTCTAATGTTTTCCTTTCCTTGTAATTATACTATCACAATATATAGTGATACCAGGGAGGCCCACTGTGAAGAATAGCTTGACTCAGGCATCGCAGCAAAAATCGATCGCAAGGGTGAAGTTACGATGTTCAAAGAATAGGAAAAGAAGTCTTACTGTGTCAAACCATAACGAGAATATTATGCAATTCTGAGAATTCTATTTATGAAAAGAGGACTCAGAAAGGATTTCTGTGATGGCAATGCTTCTTCAAAGGCCCGTTTTTGAAGAAGTAATGGAAGAACCCTGAGTGCTTTGACTTGGAAGAAAGAACCCTCTTTTAGAATGGTGTTGCTTGGTAGCTTCCTTCCTGACTGGAACATATAATGTGTCTCAACTGGAAACCTCACATCTCTTAGGAGGCATGTGGGCAATTCCATTGGAAAAAACTTAAAACACTCTCTGTACAAAAGGGACCTTCAACTTTGGCACTGCTGACATTTTGGGCCTGATAGTTCTTTGTGGTGAGGGCTACCCTGTGCATTTCACGATTTTTAACAATATCCATGGCTTCTGCTCACTAGATCACACTAGCAGCTCTTCCAGTTGAGAACTGCTTTAGATAATCTCTTGGCACCAGCACAATCATAAACACAACCTGGCATTGAAACCCCATAGTATTATTACCAGGTGATCATCCAGATGATCAGGATACACTGATAATCATTTTTAAAATTTACAATCAAAATAGACAAAATTGAAAAAATCTCCTGGAAAAAGTGTATTCTTCTTCCCTACCTCCAGTTTAAGAAACAACGTAATGAATTTTAGTCTTGGAAAGGACTATTTTTCTAATTAATATAGTTGAGAAGACTAAGGTTCTCCAGCAACCTGCCCACAGTGTCACCACAAGCTTGACAAGGACCAAAGGCGCAGGAAATCTCATCCCAGAGTTTTTTAACACACACTGTCCTCAGGAGCTAGCTTTAATCGTGAACAAATTCTTTTTAGATTTATTCTGTGTGATTACAACGACCAGAACTAGGGCATACAGGAAGCCGAGTTCAACTCATTATATAAGAGAAAACGTTCGGTATGTCAGTGTAGTTAAGGAAAAAAAGGATAACTTGATATGAACACAGAAGTGACAGAAACAGCGAAGATCTGGGGGACAAGTCCCCCCTGACAAAACGCTAAGTCGTGAGGTTTTTGCATCAATGACCAATGGAACTCTGCTCAGAAAGACGGCTCTCTTAGGCCTTAAACAGACATGCCCAGCGCTAAAGCCACATCGGTGCCTGCCCTATCGGCTGGGTCGGCCAGCACTACAGCCCAGGGCGTTACCTGACCCTTATAGCCCCTAGGACAAGAGCAAACTCCACCCCGGGACTCTGCGGCGAACGTCAGCCGCCTGCATGAAGAGGAAACTACAACTCCCATCAAACAGTGCTAGATGAGGTGAGCGGGCACTCGCCGCACGTGGGCGGCTCCGACCAATAACGACTGTCGTTACAGCGAACAGTTTGGTCGAGTTTGTAAAAGGCCGCGGCAGGCGAAGAGACAGGAGGTGAGGGCGGTCAACAGCTTGGGGCCCTGGGCTGTGGTGGGAGGGTGGGGGCGCAGGGCAGATAAGGGGGCCGTGTTCCCAGAAGGCGGGATGGCGGTGGGACGGAAGTGTTAAGTCGGGAACCGTGGCGGAGAGCGTGTCCAAGTTGCAGGGTGCAGGCCAGTTGATGCTTCGGGTTTGGGCCTACTCAGGACCGGAACTGAGCGGCCGCGCGGGGAGGATGCTGGGAAGCAGGTCCGTAGGTGGTGCGTCGGAGGCAGATGGGTCCCGGAAGCCGAATGCGAGTTTCGCCTCCCGCGGGCCTGGTTCCCAGACACTTGACGGCCTGAACCCGGCGCCTTTTCTCCGCTATTCCGAGGCAGCGCAGTACTGATGGAAGCACCCTGGACCAGGAGTCGAGAGTTCTGCCTTATAGGCCTGCCCCTTCCTCTCCCTTGTGGTTTGACAAGGAATCCAGCAGGTGCCAAATGCAGCGTTAGATCATCGGGTGGCTGGCTGTGAGACATCAAAATCTCTCTCTGAGCCAGTTTCTTCATCTCTAAAATGGGTAAAATAGTACCTGCTGCACAGGATCGTGGTGAACAGTACATAAGTAAATGCATGGGAAGGGCTTAGTTATACTCAGTAAACCTTAGCAAATTTATTTTACAATCAAGGCATAATTCGTTCTCTTCATTTACTGTGCTTCACAAGCATTAAACAGCATCCTCCAAACTGTTTCTACAGCCAAAGAGTACCTGACTGAAAGCCCATCACTTCCAGGGAGGGTTTATGGGTTAAGTATTCCAGGACCAGTTTCTTTACACCGTGAAGCTATTTTGTAAACTTGCTGAGGAAGAAGAGACTTTTTTAGGCAGGATTTAAATACAGATTTCAAATACAAGTGCTTTCTTTCGGTAAAATTGACATTACATTCATTTCAGGTGTATAAAAATTTGGTATGTATATACAATGGGAAAGTGACCAAAAAATTTTGTTTTCCCAGTGATGAGAACTTTTAAGATTTACTCTCTTGGCAACTTTCAAATATGCAATACAGAATTATGGACTATAGTACTATAGTCACAATGCTGTATATTATATCCCCATGACTTAATTTTATGACTGGAAGTTTGTACCTCTTGATTCCCTCCCTTTCTCCACTCCTGAGCGGCCCCAAACCCTTCCCCTCTGGCAACCACTAATCTATTCTCTCTAAGTTTTTTGTTTGTTCACTTGTTTTGTTTTTAGATTGCACATATAAGTGAAATCATATGGTATTTGCCTTTCTCTGATCTGTCTCACTTAGCATAATACCCTCTAAGTTCATGCATGCTGTGGCAAATGACAAGATTTCCTGCCTTTTTATGGCTAACTAGTATTACATTGTGTGCATATGTGTATATGTATATATACATATATATACCATCTTCTTCATCCATACATCAGTGGACACTTTTTTCCATATTTTGGCTATTGTAAATAATGTTGCAGTGAACATAAAGATGCATATATCTTTTCAAATTAAATGTTTTCATTTTCTTCGGCAAATATAGGCCTCATAAATTGTGTTACTTATGTGTATATCTTGATACTCCTTCCTTATCAATACATGTAGATCTGATTCTTTTTAATTGCTCTATAGTAGCATATTGTATGGTCACACCATAACTTATTTAGTCAGCTCTTAGACTTTCTGTTGTACATAATTGTGTACATGTGAGAATACAACTCTGAAATCTTAAAAGTGAAATTGCTAAGTCAAAAGTTTTACATTTATTTTATTTAAATCCCTTTAAAGAGGATGTTGCAGTTTATACTCCCACTTAAAATGGTGCAGTGTCTATATCTCCACATCCTCGCAAACACAATGAGAACATTTACCTTCTTTGTCACTTTGTCAAAGTATTGTCATTTTAATTTGCTTCTCACTGTAAGGTTGAATTTCAGATGTTTAAAACTATTTTTCTTTTTTCTTTTTAATAAGCTGTCTTTTCATGCCCTTTGCTCATTTTTCTAGTGCTTTTCTTTTTCTGATTTACAAAAACTCTTAGGAAATTAGCTCTTTGACATTTGCACTCTAAATATTTTCCCTTTTTAATGGCAGCCTTATTGAAATATAATTCACATAACAAAATTCAACCTATTAAAGTGTTATAATTCAGTGATCTTATAATTTCATAGAGTTGTACAACCTTTCATTACCCTAAAAAGAACTGTATTTATTAGCAGTCACTCTCATTTCCCTCTTTACCCCTAGCCCTTGGCAGTTAATCTACTTTCTGTGCATTTGCCAATTCTGGGTATTTCATTTAAATGGAATCAGACAATGTGTGGCCTTTTGTTGTCTGTTCAATGTTTGTTCATCCATGTTGTAGCACGTATCAGATCTTCATTCTCTTTACGGCCCAATAATATTCCATTGTATGGATACACCACATTTGTTTATTCATTCATCAAGTTCATGGACATTTGGATTGATTCTACTTTCTGGCTCTTATGAATCCTACCACTATGAACATCTTTATACAAATTTTTCTATGTTTTCAATTCTCTTGGGCATATATTCTCTGTGGAGTCATATGGTAATTCTGTTTAACATTTTGATGAACCATCAATTTTCCAAAATGGCTGCACCATTTTACAATACCATCAGTAATGTATGAGGGTTCCAACTTTCTATATCTATGTCAGCACTCGTCTCTTTTTTAGTCATTTTAGTGCCTATAAAGTGACATATTGTGAATTTGATTTCCATTCCCCTAAGGACATGATGTTGAACATATGTCTTTTGGCTGTTTCTATAACTTCTTTGGAGAAATACCCATTCAAATCCTTGCTTATTTTTAGGAAGAGTTGTATTTGTTGTATTTTCAAAAATGTATGTGGTTTTGGGAGATTTCCACTGCTCTACTCACGCCGCCATCTTGGCTCCCTCTTCTCCTTGCCTATTTTTAAATTGGGTTATTTGTCTTTTTATTGTTCACTTTTAAGTGTTCTTTATGTATTCTGGACACAAGTCCCTTATCACATACATGACTTATAAATGTTTGCTCCCATTCTGTGGAGTTGTCTTTTCACTTTCTTGATGGTATCCTTTGAGGCACAAATGTTTTTAATTTTGGTGAAGCCCAATTTTTCTATTTTCTTTTGTCACTTATACTTTTGGTGTCATATCTAAGAAACCACTAACTAATCCAAGATCATGAAGATTTACTCCTGTGTTATTTTCTAAGAGTTTTATAGTTTTGGCTTTTACATTTATGTCTTTGATCCATTTTGAATTATTTTTTGAATACAGTGTTAAGATAGGGATCCAGCTTCATTCTTTTGCAGGTGAATATCTAGTAGTCTCAGCACCATTTGTTGACAGAACTATTCTTTCCCCAATAAATGATCTTGGTATCACTGTCAAAAATCAATTGCTCATAAATGTGAGGGTTTATTTCTGACTTTCAGTTCTATCCCATTGATCTGTATTTCTATTCATAAGTGGTACCACACTGTCTTTTTTTCCCCTCCAATTTTATTGAGATATGATTGACATGTAACATTGTGAAGTTTAAGGTATACACGTTGGTTTTATATACTTAACATATTGTAAATTGATTATAACCATAGCATTCATTAGCTAACACCCCCATCATGTCACATAATTACCATTTCTTTTTTGTGGTGAGCACATTTAAGATTTACTCTTAGCAATTTTCAAGTATATAACAGCGTTATTAACCATAGTCACCAAGCTGTACATTAGATCTCCAAAACTACTTGTCTTATAACGAAGTTGGTACCCTTTGACTGACATCTCCCCATTTCTCCCCCCATCCCCACCAGCGCCTGACAACCAGCATTCCATTCTTTGTTTCTATGAGTTTGGCTTATTTAGGTTCTACTTACATGGGAGGTCATACAGTACTTGTCCTTCTCTGTCCACATTGTCTTAATTTGCTTTGAAATCAGACAGTGTGAGTCCTTCTACTTTGTTGTTTCTCAAGATTGTTCTGGCTTTTCCTGGTGCCTTTCATTTCCATATGAATCTTGTCAATTTCTGCAAAAAAGGTATCTGGGATTTTGGAAAAGGTATCTGGGATTTTGGAGGGGATCACATTGTATCTTCAGATGAGTTTGGGGAGTAGTGCCATTTAACAATATTAATGCTGGACCATGAAATTGAGATTTCTTTCCAGTTTTTAGGTCTTTAATTTCTTTGAATGATGTTTTGTAGTTTTCAGAATACACATCTTGTACTGCTTTTGTTGCTCAGTTTGTTTTGTCTTTAGATATAGCGTATGGTACTTTTTTCCATGCAGAATATTTTATTTTTATGTAATCAAATATAATCAGTCTTAATTTTTAAATGGACAAAATATTTAAGTAGCTGTGTTTCAAAGGGACACTAATTAAACAAGCATGCAAATTGTTGCTTACCACCATTATTCATTAGGGAAATGCAGATTAAAACCACAATGCGATACCATTTTACCTCCACTGTAATCAAATAGCTACAACCTAGAAGACGGTAAGTGTGGGCCAGGAAGTGGAGAAATAGGAACTCTTCTTATGTTGCTGGTGGGAATGTAAAATGATAACAGCCATTTTGGAAGGCAGTTTGGCAGTTTCTTTAAAAATTAAGTGTAAACTTACCATATGACCCAGCAATTCCAGTTCTAGGTATCCACCCAACAGAAATGAAGGTGTTTGTCTATACAAAGACTTGCATGTTAATGCCCTCAGCATCACTGTTCATAATAGCCAAAAATTGGAAACAGTCCAAATATTTGTCAGCTGGTAAATGGATAAACAAAATGATATAATTTCCATACAATGAAAAACTATTAAGCAATAAAAAATGAATGAAGTACTGATACATGTTACAATATGGTTGAACCTTGGAAACATTATGTTGAGTGAAAAAAGCCAGACATAAAAGGCCACATACTGTTTGATTCCATATATACCATATATATGAAATGTCCAAAAAAGGTAACTCTATAGAGACAGAAAGCAGATTAGTGAATGGGGGTAGGAATGGTAACTGACTGCAAATGGCGAGAAGGATCTTTTGGGGTGATGACAGTATTCTAAAACTATTGTAGTGATCTATAAATTTAATAAATATTGAGTTGTATACTTAAAACGGGTGAATGTCATGATATGTAAAATATACCTCAATAAAGAGTTTTTAAAGAAGAACTGATGTAGTCAGGAAAAATTTAATCAGTATTTTATGGATTCAGTGACATTTAGGATATCCTCATTCTGATATTCTTAAAAAATACATTTTTAAACCCCCACACTATTTATTCTATTATGCTAACAGTTCTGTCTTTTGTAATGGAATGTTTTAACTACCTGGAATTAATTTGAGTATACAAAGTGAGACAGGATGAATAAGATATTTAATGATAATTTTTGCCCTTAAATTTTCCTTATATATTGTATAATTTTAGGAAATTTTAGTAAGCTAGTGTATTGATTAAAATTATTTGGATCCCTTCCCCTTACTCATGTAATCACTGATGTACTTTTCAAACATTTTTAGAAGTAAAACCTTTTTCTCCCAATAAAATCTTACTCTGTAAAATTGGGTACTGTAAGATTTGGGTACTCTATAAGTACTACTATAAGATTTGGGTACTCTGTACCCAAGTAAATTTTTAAGAAAACTAGAAATAATATTCTGAGTCTATTCTACTGAAATACTTGCATCTGTATGCTAAGATAAATATTTCGGATGTTCATTGCAGCATTGTCTAGAATAAAAACCCATCGGACAAGCTGGTTAAACTATAGTGTATTCACATAACAGATTATTGTACAGTCAGTAGAAATGGTGTTCAGAGCCATTCGTGCTAACATGAAAAGAAATCTGTGATAAAATTTTAAAAGAGCACACTTCAGAGCAATGTGTATAATTCCATTTTTCTAAAAAGAAAGTACATACATACATATATTTATAAACATAAAATAATCTGATGGATATTAGCCAGCCTGCTGGTAACTATATTTATGCTTGAGAAGTGGGGATTTTGGGGGGGATGTGGAGATAGTGGTAGTGGTAGGAGTAGTGCATAAAAGGGGTCTGTATTTTTCCACTTTTACATTATAATTTTGTAAGTTGACTCTTTTCTGAAAATATGAAATTATTCTAAAATAAAGTTTATTCTAAAAAAATAGGGCATTAGTGGAAAAACTGGTGAAATCCAAGTCTGTGGTAGAGTTAATAGTATTCTACCAGTGTTAAAGTGTTAGTTTTGACAAATGTCCCATGGTTATGGTAGATGTTAACTTTTGGGGAAGCTGGATACAGGAACTCTGACTATCTTTGTAGCTTTTCTATAAATCTGAAATAATTCCAAAATTAAAAGTTTAAAAAAGATGTGCATTTGTAATTTTGAAAGATACTAATAAATTGCCCTCTACAGGGCATAATAAAAAAATAAAAGGAAAATAAGAGGAAGGAGTGGAATTCCCATGATGAGGCAAAAACTACATCACCTCACGGCTTCCCCACATAGCGGCAAACTAGTTCTTTCCTCAGTGAGCAAGGTTGTTCTTTTTTCTACTTTAATGACATGTTAAATCATCATCAACATAACTCTTAAAATTGATTTTTTGCTAAGCTTTTTCATATGTATGCTTTTTTCCCCACTTTGCAAATATAAAACAACCTGTAACTCAGAAGTTACAAGACTTGTTCATAGGCAACTGGCATAAAGGGCAAACTAAATCCTCCTCCTTTTCCCTTTGGAACAACATTCCTTCCTGAGAACCCGTGTTTAGCTGAATGAGAATACCTACTAAAGACGTTTGTTAACTTGGAAAGGCAAGTGTGTCTCCATGAGTGTTTTTTAATGGGTGATTTTGCCCCCCAGAGAACCTTTTATCAATACCTGGAGACATTTTAAGCTTTTTTACAGTTTGGAGAGGAGGGGTAGACTGCTACTGGCATCTAGTGGATAGAGACCAAGGATCCTAAACTGCACAGGACAGCGACCCCCGCCCATTAAGGAATTATCTAGCCCAAAATGTCAGTAGTGGCAAAGTTAAGAAACCCTGCTGTAGATCATATTTCACAAAGTTTTATTCATTGTGGATACTCAGCAAATATTACAGGTGGGGGATTAGGTCATAGCAAATTGAAAAGGTGGACATTCTTAGACTTTTCTTGTTTGGACTTTGCAGTTTGTTAATCAGTGGACTGTAGAAGATGTGGAGGGAAAATATTTTATCAAGACTATCCTTTTGGGCCAGGGTGGGAAAGCAATGCTAATAGCCTATTTCAAAATCACAAGCAAATTACCTTTCTAAAAAAGCTTTAAAACATTGAACTTTAGTTACTAGTAGGCATGTTGAACTAATTCCTACAATTTACTTATAAAATGCATCGAAATAGAAGAGGGATTGATAGATGAAGAACAGGGTAGATAAATATGTAATAAAGCAAAAATAGTAAAAATGTTTCTAGAATCTAGAATCTAGTGGGTAAGTATACAGAGGTTCACTGGGGTTCAAAAGCAGAGATTCTCACTCTTCTCAGCTGACGCTGGGTATTGAAAACTGCATTTTTGATTTTGCTGAGTTACCTCCGGCAAGTTACTTAACTTTAAAATTTTCATCTGAAAAGTGGTTGTTTGGCTCAAATGAGATACTGTTATTGTGAGGCTCAAACAAAAATGTGAAAGCCCTTTGAAAAGCATAGAGCACTTTAAAAATGTAATTCGTTACCCTTAGGAAGGAGAAGTGTTTGACAGTTTTATACGGTGGCTCTAGGTGTTATGGACAACTCCTTGTGTAATGACATCAGCACTATTTTACCTTTTTGGCAATCAGAAGTACAAAACAGCCATTTCCATAACAATTTCTGTCAAGATATTTCTTAAGTATTTGTGAAAGACTTAATTCCTATTCTGAGAAGAAAGGATCCTCCTGTCTTTATATAACTTTAATGTTTTTTCTTGTTTTCCTTACAGACTGCCAAGTGCTCCACTTAGGGCAATGGGCATCTTCTTTGACAGTGGAACATTGAGCAGGAGCTTTGCCATTGGCAGGCCAAGCAGGAGGAGGCAGAATGTCTTCATTGTCACACCATAGAGTTCAAACTTAAGAAGACTTTGGCTTAAACAGTATCATTTACTCTGCAAATGATTATGTCTTCACCTGTCCTCTGTGATCATCACAAACTAATGAAACACCTTTTAGGTCTTAAGAATTTAGGTTACTCTGTTTTCCAGTTGCTCTGGCAGCTGATACAGGTAGGATTGAGCTGGGTTTTGGGGGAATGGTGGAAAGGAACTCATCTCTCCCATTCTTGAGTCCTTGCTCAAATTAAACATCTGTGCATGTAAAGATTAGGTTAACTCATCCAGGTTGTTGTGTAGAACAGGATTGAACCTACAGAAATGCCTAGTTGTTATATTAGGATTTTTAAAAATATTGAGAGAGATGGACAGTGACTGCAATGGGGTATGGGGGGGGACTTGATAATAGGGGTAAATGTAATAACCACATTGTTTTTCTTGTGAAACCTTCATAAGTGTATACCAACGATACGTTAATAAAATAATACATATATATATAGAGAGAGAGAGAGAGAGAGAGATGAAAGGCAAAGTTTCCTTCACTTTTATTTTCTTTGAGGGTTTAAATTGATGCTTTGAGGATACAATTTGAAAATGGTGGATAACTTACGATATTAAGTACAGAAAGTGATTTTAATATACAGAAGTGATTTTAAGTATGTGTGTGTGAATGTATACTCATGCTGATGGGCTTGCTGCCTTTTTTAGGGCCTGTGAAAAATGGAACCAAACACTCTGAGGACTAAAGTTCCAGCTTTTTTATCTGATTTGGGGAAGGCCACATTGAGGGGAATCAGAAAGTGTCCTCGATGTGGCACATATAATGGAACCCGGGGACTGAGCTGTAAGAACAAGACATGTGGAACCATATTCCGCTACGGTGCAAGGAAGCAGCCTAGTATTGAAGCTGTCAAAATTGTAACAGGCTCCGATCTGCAGGTCTACTCAGTGCGGCAAAGAGACAGAGGACCTGATTATAGATGCTTTGTGGAGCTAGGTGTATCAGAGACGACAATCCAGACGGTGGATGGGACAATCATCACTCAGCTGAGCTCTGGACGGTGTTACGTCCCCTCATGTCTAAAAGCTGCCACTCAAGGCGTTGTGGAAAACCAGTGCCAGCACATCAAATTGGCAGTGAACTGCCAGGCAGAGGCCACCCCTCTGACTCTGAAGAGCTCGGTTCTGAACGCAATGCAGGCCTCCCCAGAAACCAAGCAAACCATTTGGCAGTTGGCCACAGAACCCACAGGTCCACTTGTACAGAGAATTACTAAAAACGTTTTGGTGGTGAAATGCAAGGCAAGCCAGAAGCATAGTTTGGGGTACTTGCATACATCCTTTGTGCAGAAAATCAGTGCCAAAAGCTTGCCTGAGCGTCGTTTCTTCTGCTCCTGCCAGACTCTGAAATCGCACAAGTCGAATGCCTCCAAGGATGAGGCAGCCCAGAGATGCATTCATTTCTTTGCTTGCATCTGTGCCTTTGCCAGTGATGAGGCATTGGCTCAGGAATTCTCAGACTTCCTAAATTTTGATTCCAGCGGTAGGTGGTATGGTTGACACAGTTAATCTGTTTTTCTAAAACAGCAATGGAAGAGTTCCACTGCTGGCATTTGGAAGGTGTCGTAGCAATCTTCAGAAGCAGTTACTAGCTAATTCAAATGAAAAGCATTCCTTCTTTTAATCCCAGTCAGCACACTTGCATAAAGGTTGGTTGGCTAGTTGGTTGAAATTAATGATCAAGAGACTTGGGCATTTTCAGTGAGACAAATCTAGCAAAGCTAGCTTTGCTGGGATTTTTTTATTCCTCCGCAGATGCCCTATGTTAGTAAAAATGAGTAACACACCAAAAAAAATCCCTTTTATTTCGGTTGACTGGCTCATTTCTTACCTTGAAGATGTGGAAAACTAGTCACTTGCTCAAAAGATTTTCAGAAGTTTCTAAATCAAATATTTTGTTACTGTTGTTTTTAACATATTTTAATCTTGCAGACACTTTATTTTCAGTTCTTAATGATGTTTAGTAGGCAGCAGCTCCTAAGTTTCTAATTTACATTTATCTTTGGAGTCTTATCATATTAAGGCCTATGAACAAAAACATGCTTGGGGAAGTTCTTTGAAGGCACTTATTTTAAAGCAGGCAGGCACTCTATATTTGTTTTGGGGGGTTGGATTTTTATTATATGTAGTTTTTCCCTAGGCAGAGGCCCATACTTACTCTTAGATAGTATTAATAATTCAGAAATTTGTTATATTTTAGGTCTTAAAGAGATTATTGTGCCCCAGTTAGGTTGCCATTCAGAATCAACAATATCTGCTTGTGAGTCTACTGCCTCTAAGCCAAAGAAGAGGAAAAAGGAGGAAGTATCTGGTAAGCAGCTGTTTGGTTTGTTTTTTTAATGTGTTATCTTTAGAGATTGTTTTACAGTGTTTTATCTGTTTCACTGAATCTCAGCAAATATAAGAAATGTTTCTTATGTTTCTTTTAATGAAAAATATTTTACCCTCCATTGATAATTCTATAAGTCAAGCTAAGAGTTGGTTCCACTGGCCAAGTTTAAGATCCATCCAAACTCCACTTTTATTATTGTATATGTTTGTTCATCCCCTAAACATTCAGATAGTCTACACCTTAATCTACCTTAGGAAGTATTATATAGTTTTTATCCAAAGAGCATTTAAAAATTTTTTGTGACAATAGTTAATTATATTTTCCACACTAAGTTAGGAGTATAGTTTGTTATCTGCATTTCACCATGTGGCACCATACGTGTTATATATATTTTTCTTTTTAATGCAAGTATAGCAGTGTCAAGTTAAGGATTTAAATCAGTATGAAAATGCTAAAGTGCTCTAGTAGATAAGTGTCAAAGGACTTCAACTCTAAACAAAAAGAAAATATAACCTGGTCTATACATGTGAACTGAACTCCAGACTCACTAGTAAAACAGTGAAATGCAAACATTTTACAAATGCAAAATTAAAACTAGATAGTTTTTGTTACCAACTTAGCAAAGATTTTTTAAATCATTACACCATAGGGAAAGGTGAAATTATCGCTCTTTGGCATGGCTAGTGTAATAAAGTTGCTATAACCATTTGTAAAAGTAGTTTGCAGTATTTGTTAAGTTCCTACCCATAGGGAGCATTGTTGGAAGTAGGTCAAATGGTCATGGACAGTAGTTTTGGTGCTGAGAAGTTGGAGAAAGAATGAGATGTGGTCATTTCTGTGTTTTTGAGAGGCAATTCTGGCAGGAATATAGGGTAGAGATTGTTATTATATCATTACATTATTAGAGAAGTAAACATTTTTGGGGTTTCCTAGGAAAATAAAATTTTTTTTAAAATTTCTTACTTTTTGACTGGATAGTCCCACTTATAAATAATCCTTTTTAAGGAAATAATCCTTGGTTCAGAAAAAGCATTTTATTCAGAGATGCTCATTTTATAGTTACTTATAATGTTAAAAAATTAGGTAAGGGCCAACCACAGGGATAGTTAAATGAAGCATGAAAACTACTTGACAGAATATCAAGCAGCCATTAAAAATGATTATAAAGAACTTGGAAAATGTTCAGATCACTTGGGTAGCCAGAATTAAGTACAGAAAGTCAGTTAAACTTGGATTTCAGATAAACAATGAATAACTTTTTAGTGTTTATTTAGATAATGAATAACTCCTGTGTAATTTTGGAATGTGCTTAGTTAAAAAATATTTATTTGAAATTCAAAAAAATGTTGCTAAACCTGGTAATCTTGCCATACTCATGGCAACTTAAAATTACAAAATCAGGAAAATTTACTGTTCACAAAAAAGAAAATGGGTGATAGTTCATCAGAAAAATTAATAGGGATTGTCTGAGAGAAGGGAACAATGAGTAAATTTCTTTCCTTCCTTTCACTTCTGGTCTCCCCCGCCCCCATCAATTTCCTATAAAGAATGTAAGAAACTTAAAATGTCATGTATAAAAGCTAATGCTAATTCTTTCTTGAAATGAAGCTATCTTAAAGATTAGCAAAGACTGTTTATATGTTTCAGACTCTTTAGAAATGAACATCGATTTATGTTCTGCAGACATGTTATTAAACACTATGATGATTTGTGGTTTAGGTGCGCAGACGAACAGTTCACTGTTGCCTCAAGACTCAATAAGCAGTAATCTAAGGAAAGGTGGGCTGAAAAAGCCTGTGGTTGCTTCTGCATTAAAAAGGCAGGGTAAGTTTCCCTTCCCCAGAATAGGCTAAGAGGTGGAAAATTATCCTAAAGAGGCTCAAACTAATATAATCAAAAGACATATTGCATGTTGTCCCCCAAGGACTGCTAAGATAAACACTAGCAAGCACTGAGGTTGAGGTCTGTCCTCACACTAGCCTCAAATCACGCTCAAATCTAAATAACAAATGCAACAAAAATTACAGACATGTTTTGGCAGCATATATTTTATAGAATATTTTCCTTTTATTGTTTATTACCCACATTATTGGTTTGGAGATTTAAAGTTGAAAAAGAAATGTATTTTACAATTATGTATTGATAAATATTTGTTGAGAAAGACAAGTATAGTCTGTTCTCCAAAATTAGTGAAGCTTGAAAACTTTCCTAAAAGCATTAGCATGGCTATCATTCTGAATTTATGAGATAGAGTAACTTAATTTGAGCATAACATACATTTATATATATCACTTCTCAGAATAATTAAGCTTGTAAATTTGGGAATCAACATTTTCTTAACTCTCCTTTAGTAGGTCTGGGTTATTAAAAAGCCATATATAATCCCTACCTTTATTCTCTGGTTTTGAAAGTAAGACCAATACCTAAATAGCAAATAATACAAGACCAAAATCTTACTTAACAAGTTAATAAGAACTTAGACGTTCCAGGAATAAATGTTTTTGGAAGGTCAGGAAGTAAAAAGATCAAAACTATCAGAAGATTTTTAAAATGTTTTCATTACTTCCTTTGGCACAAAGAAAAAAGAAAACCTTTAATCAATATCATCGCTGTGTGCATTTACCTATGAGAATTTTAGTTTTGGATGACTAGTAGTTAAGGCATCATTATCTCTTTATAAAAGGGATGTACTTCAGACATGTAAAGACATTTAAGGAGGAGAAATAGAATAGAATGTTAGGTCTGTGGGCATACAGACATATTCATCAGGAATACGACTACCTTATGGATCTCTGAAATCAGACATTATGTAAGGCCATTTATTTATTTATTTGTTTGTTTGTTTATATTTTTTGCCCATGCATTCATTTATCGAACAGATCTTTAACAAGTGCCTTCAGTGTACCAGGGATTATTTTAGGCATTAAGGATACCACAGTGAATGGGACAGGGTAATAAATTGCCACTCCTCAAACTGAAACTACAAATACTTAACATGTGTGTAGTTGAGGTGGATAGCAACTGATAGTCTGTTTTTAATGATATTTTTGTTGTTGAAGTACTGTTGATATACAATTTTCTGTTAGTTTCAAATATACAACACAGTAGTTCAGCGGTTACCCATATTATTAAAGCCTCACCCCATCTAGTGTGGTTACTTTCTGTCAACATAGAAAGATGTTACAGAATTACTGACAATATTCTCCATGCTGTACTACTATCCAGCTTATATTATGATTGAGAAATTTTGTTCCCATTTATCCTCCTCACCCTCCCCACCTACCCATTCTAATCCCCCATGGTAACCACTTGTCATTTCTTAGTCTACATTTATGAGTCTATTGCTGTTTTGTTCCTTCTTTCTTTTTATGGCTGAATAATATTCTATTGCGTATATGTAACACATCTTCTTTACCCATTCATCTATTGATGGACACTTACATGGCTTCCATATCTTGGCCATAATGTGGCGATAAACATAGGAGTGCATATATCTTTTCGAATCAGGGATTTTGTTTTCTTTGGGTAAATTCCTAGAAGTGGAATTACTGGGTCAAACGGTATCTCTATTTTTAGTTTTTTGAGGAACCTCCATCGTGGCTGCACCAGTTGACATTCCCATCAACAGTGTAGGAGCGTTCTCATTTCTCTCCATCCTCGCCAACACTTGTTATTATTTCTGGTGGCTCTTGTAACTGGTGTGAGATGATAATCTCATTGTAGTTGTTATTTGCATTTCCCTAGTGATAGTGATATGGAGCATCTTTTCATGTGTATAAGGCCATTCTTCAACACGCAGTTCAGTGTTGGCTACAAACTTTCCATGGTTAACAATATTAAACCCATTAGTCTCTCAGAGCTTTTCATTTTTTAAAAGAATCCATCTAGAAAAAAAGAAATCTGAATCTTCCATTTCACTTGGTATATCTAATATCTTTGAGTTTCTGTACAAACTCCTTAGCTTTTTCAAACTTCAATTAACTGTTTATTCTGTAAGAAAAAATAGAAGTTACTGAAGGTTTTTTTGGTTTTTTTTCCCTAGCCTGTAGTCAGCTGTTAGATGAGGCACAAGTGACCTTATCCTTCCAAGACTGGCTGGCAAGTGTTACAGAGCGCATCCATCAAACCATGCACTATCAGTTTGATGGTAAGTATTGGCACTCAACTAGACTATTACTGAAAGTAAGAGAAATATTTAAGTAACTGAGTTGCAATTCTACTGTGTTTCGATAGGGAAAGTAATTGGACTTCAGTCCAAAGTACATTGGGTCACAAAAAAGTAGAAATCTAAATGAGGGAAAGGAATAATCACATAACTAAAATGGAGGACCAGCAAAATGAATTTAAAGGTACAAGAGAAAAAAACACAGTAAATAATAAGTAAAGGTAGTAGAGAGCCTAGGTCTTGGGGCATGCATGCCCATGCATACACTAGTATGGGTGTGTGTGGTGAGGACGAAACTAAAGCCTTAGAAGATCATTCTAAGCCTCAAACTTAAAATCAAAATAAGTGGGGAAATGTTTAGAGAAAATCTAATGTGAGACTAAGATAGTTATATAGAATTACATGACATGCTAAGGAAGATGAGAGAACACAGGCTGGGTTTGGGTTGATTGTGATCATCCTGTGGAACTGCAGCAATTTCAAAGGTGGACCATCCAGCCAGTTCTTGCCCACTGCCTTAAAAAGCATCCTTGATGGATGGTTTTCCAGGCTTTGTCCAGTGATGAGAAACCTGCCACTTTTGAGGCAGCTCATAACATTGTTGGACAGTGAGCTGTGAGGAAGGTCTTCCTCATTGTAAATGAGTATGTTAGCTTATAATACTTCCTGTTGGTTCTAGTTCTGTGCTCTAGCCACATGAAATAGGTCTGGTCCTGTTTCTAAGCAGTCCCTGCCACTGCACACACACCCATCGCCCTGCCTGACTGGTCTTCTCTTTTCCAAGTGATACGTCTGAGGTCTCCAAATACTCCTCATGGCATATTTACAGACCTTATATAATTTTGATGTTTTTTGCTGAATGTGTTGCAGTTTACAAATATCATTTTAAAAATAAAGCATCCCTTAATAAAAATAAGTAAAAAATAAAAAAATAAAATAAATTAATAAAGCATCCCAACCTGAATAGTAGCCTGGCACTCAATAGGAGACACTCATACACAGTAGATAGATGCTCACTAGGAAGAAAAGTTTTGAAGAATTAGAACTTCATGGTGAGGAAAGAGATAAGAATGGAGGTCTTGAAATATATGTTTAGTTTTATTTATATTAGTTCAGAATAAATAAAACTTCAGAAGTTACTTTTTAGAAAAAAAATAGCCTGAGGGCTAAAGAGTCTATTTTTCTTTTAAAATTTTGTTTGAAATAATATAATAAATACCTATTAGCTCACCTCCCAAAACAGAAAATAGAACATTGGCAGTAACATAAATTATCCACAGTGGCCCTTCTTCATCTCATTCCTGCACCAGCCCTTCTCACCATCTCCATTACCACGACCTTTGTCAAAGCCACACCTTCAGCTCTCTCCTGGACGTAAGCCTGTGTCTTTTGTGAGAGGTTTTCAAGATTGATTTGTGAACCTAAGCAACGTCTGCATTCAATAAAGTAGGCAAAATCAATTGAAAGAATGGAAATCTTTCTATGGAATTGTAGAAAACCTTTCATTTTTATTTTTCTTGGTTTGACCTTTGTTTTAAAATGGCATCTGAACTGTCTTTAAGAGCCATTCTTAAGGTATATCCAGGTAGGCAGAAGTACCATGTTTAGCCACATATTCCTGATGTTTTCCCTCTGTTGTGACTTCCCCCTTGGCAGAGTTTTTAGGAAAACTCTGAACTCTTTCCACCCCTCCCCTGAACACACTTTCTGTTGCCTTTTGTTGACCTAGTGTCTTACAAGCTTCTTTAAGAAATTTGTTAAGTATTTCCAAACATTTGCCTGCCTTGAGATCATATTCAGAGAGAAAGACTAATGATTCCTGTTAGATAAACAGTGTCCTGACTTTGTGGTCTCTGGCATTCATGGTCTTGACCATCTGAGAGCATACAGTTACTACACTTAGACATGGATATAATAGCAAGTGCCTGGGGACAGCAAGCTGGAGGGAATCAAATCTACTTTCTCAAACCTCATTGTTCTCATCTCATTTCATATATTCTTTAAAGGGAAAGTCTGTGCTGTGGTGGTGTTTACAAAGTTAGGGAATTGAAGTTATCTTTGGTGGATGACAAGGTTCTGCTGCATTTGTTATGACTGCAAAGGATCAAGAGCAGGCCTGGTGATGATAGTGCTTGGCTCATAAAAATCAATCAAAGCCTTCTTTTGCCTCTATAAAGAAATTTTCTTACTTTTAGTTATTACTTCCCCTCAATTCCATTTCCTCCACCTTTTCCTGCACATCAGAAAGCCCTCTGAGTTTCTTTAAATGAGTTTCTCCTTACTCCCTATAGGCAAACCAGAGCCACTGGTGTTCCATATTCCTCAGTCCTTTTTTGATGCCCTGCAACAGAGAATCTCTGCAGGAAGTGCAAAAAAAAGGCTTCCCAACTCCACCACAGGTATGGGATTTTTCCTCAGGAATAGCAATAGATGTCTTGATGTTAGAAAATTATATTTGGAAGACTCATGGGGAATTTCAGGACTAGGGCTTCTAGTAACATGCTCAGTGCATAAAGCCTTAGCCTGTCAACTCTTATGGTAATGATCACAGTCTTCAGAGGCTCATCCTTATTGCAGTAAGAAGAGTTAAAGGAAATATTCGGAAAGAAATGGTAAAAGAAAACAATGAAGTGCAGTGAAGGTGCCCACCAAGAAGTTTGATATTTTCTAGCTATGAACCAGCTTCAACAAAAGCATCGCAGGCTCCAATCATTATTTTGGCTGGCTTTCTGGAATCATAGTACAGTATGTATCAAAAATGAAAACTTGTTTTTCATGATTTCCAATTTTTGATGAAGATTTTTAGTGTACATAAATAAGTAGCATCTCCAAGAAGCATCAGAGACTTATAAGAAATTCATATAATTTGATTCATCACATTTCTGCCAAATATTTTTATTTTAGAGTAATTCACTTTATAATTAAATTATTCTGGTACCTATTTCTTGGTTTTATATGATATCTTTCCACTACAGATCTGAAAGTACTGATTAGGGAATATAAGGAAATTAGGGAGACAAAAGGAAGAAGAAAGGATCACTCAGTGGCAAATAGCCCAAGTAACTCCAGCTAGGAATAAATGCTGTTTCTTCAGTAAATTGTTATTTGATGGTGTAATGGGAACTGTTTGAGGTTTAATTCTTTCTTTGAATAGTACAGGCTGTGAATCACTCTTTTTAGGGCCATAAATCTTTGTCTTCACAGCCTACCTGACTTTTGAGGCAGCATTGATTCTTCCAATTTAAACTTTAAGCCTAATATGTTAATTTTAACCAATCCGTTAGCTATTTTTGCAGGCCCTTTGGTAGAACTCTTTTATAATTTTGCAGGCATGGCAATAGATTGACACTCACATTAGCAGGCTTAAACTCCATGTAATTATATTAATTATGATTTGACCTCTGATATATCTAAAGTTGTCAGAAGGTAAAAGTCTGTTTTATAATGGAGTCCTGTGCATATAGCTTTGCCATACAGAGAAACAAGTTTTTAAGAGCAAAAAGAAGGAGCATCTCAAAGCATCAGAGACTTTATATTAGCAGAAATCCATATAATTTGATTCATCACTTTTCTGCCAAACCCTATTATAGGTTTTCCTCTAGAATTGCTTTTTAAAGGGTGAGATCTATAAGGAAAGAACAGCAGAGCACTGAACTCTCTAGAAACTGAATAGCAAATATGGTGATAGAGAATGTTACTTTTTAGTAATCTAATTTTATTCCCCTTTTACATTAAAGCTTTTGTTCGGAAAGATGCCTTGCCACTGGGAACCTTTTCCAAGTATACCTGGCATATCACTAATATCCTGCAAGTTAAGCAAATCTTAGACACCCCAGAGGTAAGAGTTTATTTCTACAGTAGTGGGAGAACAAAGAGGGGAAGAAAGGGAAGCAAGAACAGAAAGTACGTTTGTGCCAGTTCCTTGATCTAGAGACACCAAAGAGAATTTCTTTTTTTCATACTAAGTGATTATTCAGAATTATTCAAGCGAGGTGTTACAATTCTGATTTTAATGGGTATTCCCTATAACTTGAAAAAAGAAGGATCTTAAATTGGAGTATCCTTTTTCTTTGCCTTTGGGTCAGAAATCAGGGATGATTTTTTTCTTTTTTTTTTAATTAAGGTATCATTGATGTACAATCTTATGAAGGTTTCACACAAGCAACATTGTGGTTTCAGCATTCACCCGTATTATCAAGTCCCTCCACTCCATTACAGTCACTGTCCATCAGCATAGTAAGATGCTTTAGAGTCATTACTTGTCTTCCCTGTGCTGTACTGCCTTCCCTGTGACCTACCTATATTGTGAGCGCTAATTATAATGCCCCCTAATTCCCTTCTCCTTCCCTTCCCACCCACCCTCTCCAACCCCTTCCCTTTGGTAACCACTAGTGCGGGAGTCCAGCTCCAGTCTAGGGGTGGGATGCCCGAAGGTGCAGGACGGAGTCGGCATATGGAGAGATAGGACATGGAGTCAGTTGGAGGTGGTCTCTCGACAAAGTACCAGTGACAGCTTTATTTATACCATTTTGCACAAGGATATGATTATTTTTTATTTGTTCTTTTGATTAACAAGCATAGGCAAGCTTTTTTCTTTCTGTTTCCTTTTAATCTATACATGGTTAGCCAAGTGTTAGACAGGTGATTTTTTTTTTTCTGTTCCTTGACCTAAACTTTTCTTAGCAACATGGACTCTATTGTGTTTCTTGTTTCTATGCAAAGCAGTTTCTAAGTAATACATGTGACCACAGAAACGTGCAGCATGTAGCAGTGACTATGGAGTCTATCAGCTCAGGGTGAAATACAGGTCACTCACTACTACAGTTAGCTAGGCAGGTATCAACATCTATATTTTTAATGCAATGGGTACATTTTATCTCCTCATAATATTCTATCGTAGGTAGATGCAAGATAAAGATAGAAAGCATGATTTAGTGATGTAAGAAGGCAAGTGTAGATGATCAGGTGTGTGCCTATAGACTAGGTATTAATCCAAGCCAGACAAGGGTAGCAAAACATCCATGGGTGTAGACAATTTCTCTCAAAACTGGGGGGGTGAGGTTCTAAGCCTCACTTCTGTTAGCCCCCATTTTCTCACCTGATGGCACCCTTGCAACTGTGCCTGTCTTAGGTTGTTCCTCCCTTGAAAAATCTTACCCCTCTCTGGCTAACCAGCCATCTTCCAGGGCCATACAGGGAGATGTAAAGCTGGTAAGTGAGAGATAAGTAATAGTCTTTGGAAAGGTTAGCTTTTCACTTCTTTGCAGATTTATGTCCCGTGGCTTCCAGGCCCAGCACTTGTCTTGAGGTATCTTTACCACTTGGAAGAATTATGGTACTTGGTAATTTCACATATGAGGCACGAATTCTAGTAAAGGGCTGTAATTAGGAAGGAAGAAGAGAAGCTATAGAAGTAACAAATAGAAGAAAACATGAGAAGATTATTTAAGTGTCAGACAGGGTTATTCTATTCAATATTCCCTCATAACTCTATTTCTCTAATTTTCCTATAAAACTCTTCATCACTAGTTTCACTAGCATTGCAAACAAGGGGGGCATTCCCACTTAGGTGGAGATTGGGTAGTCAGTGTTTGACTAGCTACCTGCAGGTTTTGGTATTCTATGCCAAAATTGCTATCTGTCCTCTGGGTGTTCTATACTTCAGGACCACTATCCTGAAAAGCTTCTGGGAAGTTTATGTTCTCCTCCTTTCCGTGCTGCTTAGCAAAGGTTAACTTAGCTCTTGGCAACAATGCAAGCAAAAGCAAAGCCAATAGTATAATAGAGAATAACAAAATCAAGGTAGGTAATAGAGGGAGCCAGCTGCGAAGGCCCCTGCTTTGTGGGGGTCTTCCTCCAGTCTGAGCTTTGCTACACAGCTTGAGTAGCATGGCTCCCAACACACTAGTCCCTTCTTGGAGTCTGCAAGTCTGCTGTCGTTTTGTTCCTTCTGTTTTGCTTCATTGTTATACTCCACAAATGAGGGAAATCATTTAGTACTTGTCTTTCTCTGCCTGGCTTATTTCAATGAGCATAATACCCTGTAGCTCTATCCATTTGTTGCAAATGGTAGGATTTGTTTTCTTCTTATGACTGAATAATATTCCATTGTGTATATGTACCACATCTTCTTTATCCATTCATCTACTGATGGACACCTAGGTTGCTCCTATATCTTGGCTATTGTAAATAGTGTTGCGATAAACATAGGGGTGCATATGTCTTTTTGAATCAGGGATGTGGAATTCCTGGGTCAAATGGTATTTCTATTTTTAGTTTTCTGAGGAACCTCCATATTGCTTTCTGCAATAGTTGAACTAATTTACATTTCTACCAACAGTTGTAGGAGGGTGTCCCTTTCTCTGCATCCTCCAGCATTTGTTGTTTCTTATCTTTTGGATGTTGGCCAAAGGATGAATTTTCTTGTAAATTAAATAATGATCCCCTACTAGGTATGGAAGTCCTAGATAAACTGGCCAGCAAATAGAAAGTATTTAAGTAATTTGAGAAGATACATTATTTGTGAAGTCATTGGGCTTAGCACAATTAAACTCTCTTCCCAAATTGTAGTTTAATTCTCCTTAGAGAAATAACCTTTAATTAGTTTGTGTTCTTTTTCACAAGGGAAGTATTAAACATTTTTAAAGTTTTTTTTAAAGCAGATCCTGAATATTTGAGGTTTTTCCCTTCCAACAATAATGGGATAGTGTAGAAAATTCAGCATAATGTGATTCATACATTAAGATTAGCTTGATTGCCAGGCATTGTTATATTCAGAAAAAGAGTAAGTTGTTTGATAGCTATAAAACTTAACATGTGAACTCTAAATATAGGCCTATGGTAGCACTAAAGACACTTGAGGAACTTATTTAAATGCAGGATGTCACAGAGGCAGCTTCTAGCCTGGAACAAGTGGTGTTCAGGGAGGCCCTGAAGCAACCCAGAGCAAAGTCAAGAGAGCGAGTAATTGTTGAGCTTCTGTCCATTGGGCATTATTTACTTACATCACCTCATTCACTCTCACAACCATGTGTTGGTATTAACTGTATTTTGCAGATGAGAAACAGACCATGAAAAACTCACCCTGCATTGTTTAGTGGCAAACACAAAATTTATTTCAGGTTCTGTCTGGCTCAGTCCCAATGATGGTGTGCAGCACACAAGGTGTGAGGTTAGCTGTAGGTGCCATCAACAGAGGTCTCATAAGAATGCTGCTAGCGGAGCAACAGGGGAAGGAATAAAACCAATTTTAGAGCAGGTGTGAGCCAGTAGCAGCTGTGTAGCCATGAAGATGTTAGTGTTTCAGTTTGTATGTGGTTTGGCTGGAATTCAAATTAATGTTACAGAAAAAAAAAGAAAAGCCATGAATGATGTAAGGGAGAAAAGGCAGATTTATTGACAGAATTTACTTGAAAATAGAAAGGGAAGTTTTAACTAATTTGAGTATACTTAACAGGAAAGATGAATAAGTAAAAGATCTGTTGTCATCCAGATGTTTGTCTACTTTTTCCTTTCTCACTTTTCTTCATTTTTTCTTCACATCTAGATGCCCTTGGAAATCACCCGGAGTTTTATCCAGAACCGGGATGGGACTTACGAGCTGTTTAAATGCCCTAAAGTGGAAGTAGAAAGCATAGCAGAAACCTATGGTCGTATAGAAAAGCAACCAGTGCTGCGACCATTGGAACTAAAAACTTTTCTCAAAGTTGGTAAGTGACTTAGCGGTTTCATTAGCACATCTTCCTTTGTGGGTCAGCTGTGTGCGTTCACTGTCCTAGACTTTGGATCTTGACTTAAATATTCATCTTGCAAAGGCAGCCACGGTATAAAGTGTTTTGTTTCATTTCAGGTAGTGTTTTTAAAATAAAATTAAAATTCTCTTTACTATAAAGAAAAAACACAGTTTTTCTTTTTTTTGGTATCATTAATCTACAATTACATGAGCAACATTATGGTTGCTATGCATTAGAATGATGCTGGCTTCATGAGTGACTTTGGAAGTATTTCCTCCTCTTCTATTTTTTGGAAAACTTTAAGGAGAATGGGTATTATGTCTTCTCTATATGTCCGATAAAATTCAGCGGTGAATCCATCTGGCCTGGGGGTTTTGTTCTTGGGTAGTTTTTTGATTACCAATTCAATTTCATAGCTGATAATTGATCTGTTTAGATTTTCTGTTTCTTTCTTGGTCAGTCTTGGGAAGGTTGTATTTTTCTAGGAAGTTGTCCATTTCTTCTAGGTTTTCCAGTTTGTTAGCATATAGATTTTCATAGTATTCTCTAATAATTCTTTGTATTTCTGTGGGTTCCGTCGTGATTTTTCCTTTCTCATTTCTGATTCTGTTTATGTGTGTAGATTCTCTTTTTCTCTTAATAAGTCTGGCTAGGGGGTTATCTATCTTCCACCCCAGGCAGTTTTGGACTCCAGAGCCTGCACCCCACATCATCTGATACTTAGCTGTGTCACCCTCATTCATCACTGTACCCCCAAGATAGCACAGTGTCTGGTCCATAATAGACCCTCAATAATGACTTCTCAAATGAAGAGTGAGTGAATGAATGAAAGCCAGCCATAATTTTAATTACCTTAGCTTTGTGATCCACTAGTGCCCCCCTTCATTTCTCCAATTGTGCACTTACTCTTTTAGGAGAAATTTAGAATTTATAATTATTGTTTTCAAATTCTTATGTTAGTATATTCCTACTTATATTTTTTGCTGCTCTTGTGACTAAGATTTTTATCATTTTTCTAACTTGTTACTGCCAATGTATGGAAAGCCCTTGATTTTGGCATACTCATTATCAAATTGGCCCCCTTAATGCGTTCCTAGTAGTGATGATAGTTCTTTTCCTCTGGGTTCTGAGCAATCAATTATATCTCCTGAAAATGATAATTGTTTCGTATCAAATATTTATATCTCATATTTTTCATAAATTAGCTACGATTTCAAGAACAACAATGAATAATAGTGAAGCTAGCATCCACAATCATCATTTAGGTTATAGTAAAAACTTCCCCAGTGTAGTATTTCCCAACTGTCTTGAAGAAGAGATAGTGTTAAGTACTCTGTGAAAAAAGTATTTCATGGTTAAATAAATTTGAGAATGCTACATACTATATTTCTTTAAGACCCCTGATTGTAAGGCGCCAGAAAATTTAGTAGTAACTTTTTTGGTGGGAAAGGAAACTTCACCATATGAAAACTGCCTGGGTTATAAAATATACTCAGATCTCAGATAATGCTATAGGTAGAGTAGAGAGTAGGTAGGTAGTAATGTCTTAGAATATAATTTATCTGGGAAATTAATCCTAAAAATCTACACATTAAAAAGATCTTGCAATAAAAACACCTATTGAACTTTACTTAACCTAAGGTTTCCCAAATTTATTTAACCAGTGAACACTTTTCAGGGGAATACCATCAACATTTCACAGGATAGTTTTCTAGGAAAAATTGCTCTGTTTCACTATTAAATTATGCACTATTGGTTATTGATTTCAGATTAATTTTTTTAAGTACTCTTATTAGGAACTAGCATTAAATTTTTTGAAATACCTTTCCACCATTTTTTGAGGTTTGTCTTTGACCCAAGTGCAATGAACTTTATTAATAAAGTTCTAATGTTGAAGTAACTTCCATTTATGGAACAAATCCTACTTGGTCTTTTCTCTTTTAATGCATATGTAGATTCTACTTGCTATTTTATTTAGGTTTTTATCTATTCATAAGTGATTAACTGCCTACCATTTATTTTTTGGAAACTTTTTTGGGTTTTGGTAATAGTTATATAGAAAATGATTTTAGAAAGCTTTGGATCAAATTAAATAGCTTAGGAAATATATGTTCCTTGAATATTTGAAAGAATTTATTCTCTAGACCTAACCTTTTCTTGCAAGCAGCTCTCTAAAAAATTGTACAGTTTCTTCTGATTTACATTTCTGTTCATGGTTTCTATTCTTTCTTGAGTCAATTTTGATAATTCATTTTTTTTAATTCATCTGTTTTCATCCAAAATTTAAATGATGCACATCTTAATGATTTTTGGTATAGATGATATTCACATATGACCTTTAAAATCTATCCTTTGTCTTTAGTTATACACTCCACCAAAATTCTTTTTTATTATCTTTCTCAAAGAAAGGTACTTGTATATATCAGTTGTTCTAAATTACTGTTTTAAACTATTGTATCCTTTTGTCTGTAATAATCGCTCCTAACTCTTTAAAAAGTTTTTTCTACTATTTTCTTGGAACTCTTTTTATAGCTTTTAAAATGGAATTCTCAGTTAATTTTTAAAAACATGTTTGATAATAAGAATACTTAAGGTTCTTATTGTCTGTAATTATAGTTTAGCTTTTTTGTATCCCCAATACTTGATATTTAAAATTTCCAGTTGGTTGAGGCTTTCAATTTCTGACTTTTTAGAAATTTAAAAATATTTTCTCACTAACCTATGATACGAATTTGTTAGTAAAGATGTAATTTACCCAATATAAGGCTTTATATAGTTTTAAAATGAACCATATCTTTAAAGTTCTTTTTATCTTCATTTATTACCTGTTTGACCTACTAGAGACCAGAGAGTTGATACAATTTCCTACTACAATGGTATTTCTCTCTAAATATCTTCTTATGTTTCAAAAAAGACTTAAAGTATTGTAATGCAGTGTTTTTGGTACATCTTAGACCATTCAGGCAGCTGTAACAGAATTCTATAAACTGGGTGGCTTATAAACAACAGAATTTATTTCTCACAGTTCTGGAGGCTGGGGAGTTCAAGATCAGGGCACTGGCAGATTCAGTGTCTGGTGAAGGCTTGCTTCCTGGCTTATAAACAGCAGTCAGCAATCTTTTCATTGTTGTCTTCGCATGACAAAAAGAGCAAAAAATGTCTCTGGGGTTTATAAGGCCACTCATCTCATTCATCAAGGCTCCACCTTCCTGACCTAATCACTTCCCAAAGTCTCACCTCCAAGTCCCATCATGTTGAAGATAAGGCTTTTCAATAGATGAATTTGGGGAGGATATAAACATTCAGTCTTATAGCAATACTTTATCAATTTAAAATAATTTTTACCCTAAATTATTCCTCGTCTAGTATTACAAGTGACACCACTTTCTTTTGTTTTTCATATTTCTGAGATGTTTTCCATCCTTTTAAATTGTGATCTTTGTTTAGTTGAAACTCTTGCCAACATTAGTTGGTTTGGTTTTTCTCTAGTTTTAATAACTTATCACCTTTATCTTTGTTATAATTGATGAAGTTGGTCTTTTGTTGTTTGCTTTTTTTTTTTGCTAAATGGACTGTTTTTTGTGCTTGTCTCCATAGTTTTTAAAGTGATACCCTCTTCTCATTGTTAATTCTGCTAGTGTTCCATGTTTTTTTTCAAAAGCACCCTTTAAACTGAGGTTTTCATTTTCTTTTTAAGGTATCATTGATATACACTCTTATGAAGGTTTCACAAGAAAAACAATGTGATTGCTACATTCATCCATATTATCCAGCCCCCCCATACCCCATTGCAGTCACTGTCCATCAGTATAGTAAGATGCCACAGAGTCACTACTTGTCTTCTGTGTGCTACACTGTCTTCCCCATGACCCCGACACACACTATGTGAACTAATCATAATATCCCTGAGGTTTTCATTTTTGAATCTTTAATCCTCTGAAATTTATTTAGTTGTAGGTATGACGTAAAATTCTGTTTTCTTTTGTTTTTTTCCACCTATCTGGTTGATGCACTCCATTTACTGTAAGAAACACCTGCATTTCTTTTACTAATTAAAAATCCCTTTATCTTTTACTAAATTCCTGTTGTATTTGTGTCCATTTTGAACTTTTTTTTTTTTCTTTTAATCTGTCTAAACATATGCCAGTACCCCTATAGCTCCAGGGGGAAGGGTGTTCCTGGCCCGGGGCAAATACCCTATGAAAGCAGTGAAACCAAAATAAGTCAAGGGAAAGAGTAGGTTTGGGAGAAAGGCTTTTTATTGCTCACAGCTTGCTTGAATTTGCTGACTAGGCCCAGCCCTGTCCGTCTCCTCTCGCCACCACTCTCACTCTGCCACTAGGGTGCACTCTCTACTTCCTGCCCACCCTTTCCAGGAGGAACTCCATTGGCAGGTCCTTGGTGACTGGCAGACACCAGACCAATTATGTACCAGGAACAGATGAGAGGCAAGAACAGCTGTTCCCCCTTGCCGCAGAAGGCAGGGAGGCTCTGCAGTGGTAAACACCTCTTGATAATATAAATTAACTAAGGTTGTGTTGGAGATTCTGAAAATTCTGCAGTTTACCCTGAAAGCCTATCTCGCCACCACCCTCCTTACCCCAGAAGGACTCAGGAGACACAGGCCCACGCAAGAGATTTTATCTGAAAGAGAAAATGGCTGCCCCCAGAGAGAGGGGGAGCAGCAGCTCGTGAGTGAGGAAGCGCATTTTTAAGGAGTAGGGGTAGGGTGTGTTCTACGTTGGTAATTGGATCTTAAGGGGTGGGCGACCATGTGGTCGGTGGTGATTGGATCTTAAGGGGTGGGGGTCTTAGTGTGCCAGAATTTGCCTTCATACCCCATAACCACAGTCACACTCCTTTGGTTATTATGGATTTGTGATATGTTTTAGAACCATGTAGATTTTCTTTCTTTCTTTCTGGCTTCCTTGAAACTTGACCTTTTCTCATTAGTCTCCCTTTTAATCTCATCTAGCTGTCTTTTCTTCTCAATCTGGACTCTTCTTATGATTCTTTTGGCTGGATTCTTATTTTATTCAAGGATTCCAGATGGTTCTGTGAAATTTTCTTTTGGATACATCCAGTAATAATTGCTTTTCCTTCCCCCTGATTGTTGTTCTTATTGGTTCCCCCTTGTTCTCATATAGTTTGTTGGGTTTTTTAAACTTTTTTTTCTTTACTTTTTTAATCCTGAACAGAATAAGATCTGTGCAGACTCAAATTTTGGAGTTGTACTGATCTTTTTTCTTTGTTTCTTTCTTTAGGCAACACTTCCCCAGATCAAAAGGAGCCAACACCTTTCATCATTGAATGGATCCCAGATATCCTTCCCCAATCCAAGATTGGTGAGCTACGAATCAAGTTTGAGTATGGTCACCACCGGAATGGGCATGTGGCAGAGTACCAAGACCAGCGGCCCCCTCTGGACCAGCCCTTGGAACTGGCCCCGCTGACCACCATCACTTTCCCTTGAGGCAAAATAAGAGTCTTCTGCTGCTAAATTTGCACATCCCCACCCCTTGACAACTTTAAATCCTACTTAGGCACTCAGATAGCCCTGTTCCTTAGTGAACTGCTCTTAGCTAAAATGCAATTTCTCAACACTTCAAGTGGATTCTGAAGAACTTTTCTTGTAAATAGCCTTTTTGGTGCTGCTGTGTATAGTCATTATAAATTGGATGGCATTCTAGCTAGTTCTTGAACAAAAGGAATTTCCTTCCTAAAGACTCACCTTTAGAGTTTGTTCTGCTTTTTTCTAATTCTCTTAAGAAGTTAACAGCACTCAGCCTTATACCAACCGTGTTGGAAAGTTAGTAATACCTTGGTTAGGGCACAGCGATAAGGACCATCCTGACAGTTCCAGTCATGCCCTTTAATTATGTTCTCAAATAAAACCCAGTGTCACTAGTTTTTCCAAATTATGTATCATGTTGGCCTGAGTCTAAAATTATAAACCTTTTGGGAGATTTAGATGATAGTGAAAAGGAAAAAGAAATCCAGGTGTCAAAGGAATATTAACATTTAAAATTAATACTTGTTCCCTTCATATTCCTTCTTTATTCTCCAGAAAGTTTGACAGCTGGTAAGATACAATTTCTATTTGTGAGTTCACTGATCACAGAATGGAGATACTGAAAGACACAGATTTAGAAATCTATCTTCAAGGAGAAAAAAAGAGAATGAATATTTCCTATATACCTACTTTGTGCCAGGCACTTTTATTTATATTCTCATTCATTCGTCTCCATCATTTAGTCCTCATTATTCTTTGGGTTTAGGCATTACTCCTTTTATAGTTAAAGAAACAGCCTCTCTGAGGTTAAGTATCTTGCTGGAAACAGCATTAAAAATATTGTTTCATTTTACCGCAAAGTGCTTGTTCTTTCCATTTTGTCAGGTTGCTTTGATATAAGTTCCTTATTCGTTGCCTTTGAGAAGACAAGAAAAACCCATATGAAGTAGGCACTTGTTTTTCTTTCAATTGCATGTAACAAAAACCCAACTCTAACCAGTCAGGCAAAAATGGGAACAAATGACTGGGTCAAGAAGACTAAAATAGGGCTGGAAAACTATCCTAGGGTAGAGCTGGGTGTGGCTAGGCCTCAGGACCTATGGAACCAGGGTCCATCTGACCCATCTCTCCCTCTCCTGGGGCTTTACTCACTCACAGCACAGAGCAGCTCTTTCTGGTAGGAATTCTGGCTCCTAATGTGCCTTAAAACATGACTTTGACTTCCACTCCAAAACAGGATCGACTGCTCTACTTCCTCCCTGATCCCAAAGTGCAAAAACCCCCAAGAGAGGCTCTGATTGGCTTAACTTGGGGGAGGGGGATGATGAGCAGTTCTAATAAAGGGTAGAGCTGTGCCCCTACAGGAAGGGGATGGATAGGCAAATTAGTTGTCTATCCTATATGATTAAGGAGCTAGCTTGTGTGGGGATATCCTTAGTGCTTCAGACAGTGGGAGACTGATTGAGGAGAATCTAGAGAGGTCCACACAGAGCTTGGAACTTGCCCTGAGCTTTAAAAGAGAGGAAGATTTAGATAGGTATGGAGAATACCCAAGGAATCTGGTTGGTTCATTCTGAGAAATCCTTTAACCTGATACCAGGAACAGATGAGAGGCAAGAACAGCTGTTCCCCCTTGCCGCAGAAGGCAGGGAGGCTCTGCAGTGGTAAACACCTCTTGATAATATAAATTAACTAAGGTTGTGTTGGAGATTCTGAAAATTCTGCAGTTTACCCTGAAAGCCTATCTCGCCACCACCCTCCTTACCCCAGAAGGACTCAGGAGACACAGGCCCACGCAAGAGATTTTATCTGAAAGAGAAAATGGCTGCCCCCAGAGAGAGGGGGAGCAGCAGCTCGTGAGTGAGGAAGCGCATTTTTAAGGAGTAGGGGTAGGGTGTGTTCTACGTTGGTAATTGGATCTTAAGGGGTGGGCGACCATGTGGTCGGTGGTGATTGGATCTTAAGGGGTGGGGGTCTTAGTGTGCCAGAATTTGCCTTCATACCCCATAACCACAGTCACACTCCTTTGGTTATTATGGATTTGTGATATGTTTTAGAACCATGTAGATTTTATTTCTTTCTTTCTGGCTTCCTTGAAACTTGACCTTTTCTCATTAGTCTCCCTTTTAATCTCATCTAGCTGTCTTTTCTTCTCAATCTGGACTCTTCTTATGATTCTTTTGGCTGGATTCTTATTTTATTCAAGGATTCCAGATGGTTCTGTGAAATTTTCTTTTGGATACATCCAGTAATAATTGCTTTTCCTTCCCCCTGATTGTTGTTCTTATTGGTTCCCCCTTGTTCTCATATAGTTTGTTGGGTTTTTTAAACTTTTTTTTCTTTACTTTTTTAATCCTGAACAGAATAAGATCTGTGCAGACTCAAATTTTGGAGTTGTACTGATCTTTTTTCTTTGTTTCTTTCTTTAGGCAACACTTCCCCAGATCAAAAGGAGCCAACACCTTTCATCATTGAATGGATCCCAGATATCCTTCCCCAATCCAAGATTGGTGAGCTACGAATCAAGTTTGAGTATGGTCACCACCGGAATGGGCATGTGGCAGAGTACCAAGACCAGCGGCCCCCTCTGGACCAGCCCTTGGAACTGGCCCCGCTGACCACCATCACTTTCCCTTGAGGCAAAATAAGAGTCTTCTGCTGCTAAATTTGCACATCCCCACCCCTTGACAACTTTAAATCCTACTTAGGCACTCAGATAGCCCTGTTCCTTAGTGAACTGCTCTTAGCTAAAATGCAATTTCTCAACACTTCAAGTGGATTCTGAAGAACTTTTCTTGTAAATAGCCTTTTTGGTGCTGCTGTGTATAGTCATTATAAATTGGATGGCATTCTAGCTAGTTCTTGAACAAAAGGAATTTCCTTCCTAAAGACTCACCTTTAGAGTTTGTTCTGCTTTTTTCTAATTCTCTTAAGAAGTTAACAGCACTCAGCCTTATACCAACCGTGTTGGAAAGTTAGTAATACCTTGGTTAGGGCACAGCGATAAGGACCATCCTGACAGTTCCAGTCATGCCCTTTAATTATGTTCTCAAATAAAACCCAGTGTCACTAGTTTTTCCAAATTATGTATCATGTTGGCCTGAGTCTAAAATTATAAACCTTTTGGGAGATTTAGATGATAGTGAAAAGGAAAAAGAAATCCAGGTGTCAAAGGAATATTAACATTTAAAATTAATACTTGTTCCCTTCATATTCCTTCTTTATTCTCCAGAAAGTTTGACAGCTGGTAAGATACAATTTCTATTTGTGAGTTCACTGATCACAGAATGGAGATACTGAAAGACACAGATTTAGAAATCTATCTTCAAGGAGAAAAAAAGAGAATGAATATTTCCTATATACCTACTTTGTGCCAGGCACTTTTATTTATATTCTCATTCATTCGTCTCCATCATTTAGTCCTCATTATTCTTTGGGTTTAGGCATTACTCCTTTTATAGTTAAAGAAACAGCCTCTCTGAGGTTAAGTATCTTGCTGGAAACAGCATTAAAAATATTGTTTCATTTTACCGCAAAGTGCTTGTTCTTTCCATTTTGTCAGGTTGCTTTGATATAAGTTCCTTATTCGTTGCCTTTGAGAAGACAAGAAAAACCCATATGAAGTAGGCACTTGTTTTTCTTTCAATTGCATGTAACAAAAACCCAACTCTAACCAGTCAGGCAAAAATGGGAACAAATGACTGGGTCAAGAAGACTAAAATAGGGCTGGAAAACTATCCTAGGGTAGAGCTGGGTGTGGCTAGGCCTCAGGACCTATGGAACCAGGGTCCATCTGACCCATCTCTCCCTCTCCTGGGGCTTTACTCACTCACAGCACAGAGCAGCTCTTTCTGGTAGGAATTCTGGCTCCTAATGTGCCTTAAAACATGACTTTGACTTCCACTCCAAAACAGGATCGACTGCTCTACTTCCTCCCTGATCCCAAAGTGCAAAAACCCCCAAGAGAGGCTCTGATTGGCTTAACTTGGGGGAGGGGGATGATGAGCAGTTCTAATAAAGGGTAGAGCTGTGCCCCTACAGGAAGGGGATGGATAGGCAAATTAGTTGTCTATCCTATATGATTAAGGAGCTAGCTTGTGTGGGGATATCCTTAGTGCTTCAGACAGTGGGAGACTGATTGAGGAGAATCTAGAGAGGTCCACACAGAGCTTGGAACTTGCCCTGAGCTTTAAAAGAGAGGAAGATTTAGATAGGTATGGAGAATACCCAAGGAATCTGGTTGGTTCATTCTGAGAAATCCTTTAACCTGAATACTTGAGGACATCAGTCACAGCTTTTTAACTAAGACATTTGCCTGTGAGTTACCAGGCAAATACCTGGCTCTGGCAGTACTTAGCTATTACCACAGGGGCCACAAAACACATGATCTACCCAAAGAGGCCCTCAATCAAGTGTTAAGCTCTTCACCCAGGACCACCATCACAGCCCATCAAAATACTGAATAGAGTTCAGAGTTACACTGACTTTTCTAGCTTGACACCCTCTCTACTAGGTCAGTCATGGGCCCAGAAGTACCAGTAGTACTGTCGCACCCACTTGCAGCATCCAAATACCTCTGGGACATCATCAGTGTTGGCCTCACCTTACACTACCAGAGTGGTCTTTAGATACTCTTACCAGAGCAATACTCTTCAAACCTGCACCCACCTGCCTCCACACCCCCACACACTATCATCTGTACTATCCATTGCACACATACTCCCATTACTCATAGAAACTCCCATCTCTTAAGGGCTACAACCAGCTGCTGCCTTTCCACTGCAGCTACCATTTGTATTCTGGAGGAAACAGCTCAAAAACCTCCATGTATGCAGAGCTTCTTGCCTATTGCACAGACTGATCATCCTCAGACTGAGTGTATTAACAGGTCTGAGAGGTTTGCTGCCTTAACTCCTCCAGGCAACATGTTTGGGCCTCTATCAGTGTGGGTATCATGAGAACAACTTGCTGCTCCTCCACCCAGAACATTTAGTTCTGACCTATCGTATCCCTGCTTCTATCAGAACGGCTATCAACTCAACAGCTTGCTAGTATTTAGAGGAATGATAGGCCACTCAGAGACCTCCAGAAACTCCAAGAACCACCCACCTAAGTGAAGCTCCATAGGCCTGCCACCTGGCTCTCTCTCAAGGTACCAGATGTCATCAGCCCTGTAGTGAGGGCCCACCAATTCCCAGTCACGTAAGTCTATCCGGTCTTAAATGCATTTCTATTATGGCTGGTCTTCCAATAACCTTGCCTTTCCTCCAGCCCACTGTGTGCGGATACACAGGCACACATATGACACACACTTCAGCCCCAAGGCCTGGCCACCTAGAGAGTACAAGCTGTGTCTGTCATCTAAGAGGCAATATTCTGTCAGTGCCTGGTTCTTCCATGTCAGAAAGAGCCCGGAACTTGCTTTCCAGTAGAAGAACCCAGGGAAATACCACCCTTGCTGAGAGGGAGAGAATGGGCAGGGGCTGCCCTCCTCCAGCTCTTTAAAACCTGACCCTTTCAAGCTTAAGTTACAGATAACAAAGAAAAGTCAGCTACAAAGAACAGGCCTTGAGTCTTTGTGAGTTTTCCCCCTCCACCTATTATTTCTGGTTTTTTTTTATCTCCCAGATTTTTAATATTCTGGTTTTCTTCCTTGTGATATTTACATCTTGTTATATTTTGATATTCTTATTTTATGCTCTTTTTAAACCTTACAGACCTTGCTTTGTCTACCTGCCCTCCCACCATCCAGCTCTGCAAATGCCCTTCACATCTTTCCATCATCCCACCTGTCTCACCAAGGTAGCAGAATGACTTGTTTCACTACAGCCCTTTGATGTGTATAGCAATCACCCAAGGATCTAGTTAGAATGCATATTCTGATTCACAAGTTCTAGGGTGAGGTCCAAAATTCTGCATTTGTATCAAGCTGGATGGATGAAGTACTGGCCTGCACAGATGCTCTTGGTCTGCAAACCGACTTTGAGTGGCAAGAGCTAATGCTGACCTGGTACTGTGACTCCTATCTTTCACAGCCACTAATGGAAGAGGGCAGTCCTGGAGGTAACACTCAGCAACTGCTGGCCCTCGCATACACCTAGGGCACTAACCAGTCATGTAACAGGGTGTTTCAAGGCAGTGTGTTAGTGTGAACCACTTAATTTAACGCTCCCACAGCTACTCCAGCTGATTGAGGAGCTAGCCTTGAAGCTCAGAACTAGTTCTTGTGAGTTCAGTTCAGAGTTGCTTGGAAGTCAGAAAGTGAAGAAAGCATGCAAGCAAGTTTATTACACTCTGTAACAGAGCAGACCCCAGCTACCTACTGTGAGGCTGCTTTTCTGACATTTCAGAGGGCAGAGAAGTCCTTGATTGACAATTCTTGGCCCTCCAGGCCTGATCTGATAGGTGAAATGAGGACATGGGCTAGACTGTGCCTGAGCTCTGATGTCTCTTATCTGGGGAGATGCTGGACATTTCCTGAGTCACTGCTGGCCCCTGTGGCTTCATCTGATTAACTCGGAGTCATTTCTGGCTCTCTAGCTTTATCTGATTAACTCCTAAACTCCGAGTTAATTTTGGTGGGTCCCACTATTTTTCCATTCCAGTCATATCTATTTTTCTGCCTAAGAGTTCCGTCTGGATAGATACAAAAATGGGTCTGTAACTACACACATTCCCTATGGTTTCTCTCACTCTTTACCCAGCACCAATTTTTTCATTGTCCTCCTCGCAACTACCATCTTAAGGTTCAGATTTTAAGCCCAGGGTTCAAACCCCCAGTCTAACACGTGCTTATTTACTGTGCGACCTCAGGCAAGTTATTTAACCATCTGATCCCCAGTTTCCTCATCTGGATTATGTGCATACTAAATAAAAACACTGCATATGATATGCTCATCAAATACTGTTACCCTACTGCCTACTATTTGCACTTCTCTTTTCCTCTTCTGTTGTTGGTCCAGGAGGAGGGGGTTTCCCGTTCAGGTCAAGTTCACTATGAATTTCGTGAGATGGAATTAAGACAAGATCGAGTTGGGGGCTGTGGAGTGTCGGTTAAAAAGGGGTTCATACCACATTTATCTCATGGCTGTGACCCAACTATGCAGAAGCAGCAAAGACAGCTCACTCTCTCCTGGCTCTTGTGCTGCTCCCTCCTGCTGCTTCCCAGCATGGGGCTCAGTTCTCTCCCTTCCTAGCAGCGGGGCTCGGCAGCTTCCCTCCAGCTGCTTCCTTTCTCCGCCCCGCTAAGCTCTTCCTCCTCTGCTCGCACCGTTCTCCTCCACTCTCCTGCTGGTGGCTCAGTCTCCCTGCTGCGTCTGCTTAGCAGCACTAGAGCTCTGCAGCCTCCCGCCTCTCCTGGCTCTCCCTTCCAAGATTCCTTTTTTCCCCTCACCAGTTCTCCTACCTTCCCAGCCCCTAGATCCAGGGAAGAACCCTGTGGGCGGGTCTCCATGGTGACTGGCAGACTCCCAACCAATTACCTACTGGGACTAAGAAGAGGCGAGAATAGATGTTTCCTTCCCACCCCTCCCCTGGAGGCAGAACTCCTCGTGACTGACCAGCGCTTCTGTCGGCAGTAATCCTGCTGTTCATAGATATGCATAGATATGTTCATAGATATGCAACGCAGGCTTATGTACACAATGGTTGATATTAGAGCCAGGGAGGATCCTGGCCATAATTTTCATTTTCTCTACAACCGTGTTTTTCCAACTTAGCCTTGGTGTTTTTCTCTTAGAAATTTTTGTACTTAATACCATTGTTACAAGAACACAACTTTGTTTACTGTAAAAGGCTGTAAATAACAAAGAGGGATGCTGGTATTCATGAATATTACTTTGATAAGTTAGATAAAAAGGGTTACAACCTTAAAAGAAGGAATATAAAAGTTACGCTTCCACACTACTGAAAGGAACACGAGGAAGACAACGACCTGAGCCACGGTTGGGGGACTGTCACGCGGCGGCCGCCCCTCGCCTCCGCGAGATGACGTCAGTCACGTTCTCCCCTTGCTCAAGCCACCGCTTCCGGGCGGTTTGACATCTCTTCCACCAGGCGGCGCCGCAGGACGTTCTGTTGCTGATGCCTCCTGCGCAGCCGCACTGGTCACTGGACACGTCACCACCTTCGCGTCTTTTCTGGAGAGCGCGGGAAGGCGAGTGCTGGAGGGTGGTGGCGTCACCGGGGTTCCCCGCGCGGCTCTCGGGGGCGGGGCCGGGGACGTGGCGCACGGAGAGGAGGGGGAAAGAAGACTGGACGGGGTGCGGAGTGGCGCCGAGCGCAGGCCCCTCCCGGGCTGGCCGGGCCGCGCCTGTCCCGGACGCTCGGGCGCCCGCCTCGTGACCCGCCGTGGGCCCTGCCCGAGCCGCTGGAATGGTGCTGACGAGGCGGGTTCGGCGGGGAGGGACACCGACAGCCGCCTGCCAGGGCCGTCTCCAGATGTGCTCCAAGTACTCCGGACGCCTTTAGACCCCATTTTGGGCCGGCACCCACCTCCTGGCCCCATGGGCGGCTGCGCCCTCGTGCGACCCGGGCCCAGCCTGGACTCCGGGACAGCGAAGTGGACTCGAGCACTTGGGGCCGGACCTCAGCTGGAGCTCCAAACCGCGCGGCTCCGTGGGGGTGGGGTAGCTGCACCCACCGCCCACGCCCCTTGCCGCCGCCGCTCACGTTGTCCTCCGCCTTCCCAGTGTTGGTCAGCCCTGCCCCATGCTGTTCCTACCAGGTGGGGAAAGAGAGCGTGGGCTCTGTAAAGGGACCCGGCCCACCATTTACTGTTCGCTTTGAGCAAACCATTCAGTGCCTTTGAGTGCCTGTTTTATCTTTTTTTAAAATACAAATAGTATCATCCACTTCACAGTCTTACTAGTCTGTGCTTAGCACGTGATAGGCAGTCGGTCAAAAGATACAATTACCTTTTCACCTTTACCCACCTGGTCCTCAGAGCCAGTTGGCAGGGGCTTTAATTCCTGAATAATACTTAAAAGGCTTTGTTTGGTTCCATGTACTGGTTTTTGATAGAGGCCTTCCTTTTCTTAGTATGAGCTCCACTGCCTGCCCAGTGGCTTTGGAAGGAAAGGTGGCAAAGGGTTTATGTGTGTCCTAAGTTGAACCTGGAGCCTAATCAGAATTTAGGCCAGGGTGGTTACTAGAATTTTCTCTGGGCCCTAGCGCCTGTGAAACTTCTTAACTGAGACAACCACAAGATTTCCTGCTGGGAGACCTGTCTGGGGCACACACTGCCTTGAGGCACCCATCAGTTGTCCTCTTCCAGTCACTGCCCCTTCCCAGAATTTTTCGTCGCGTGTTAAGATTGCTGTGGCCAAGTCATCTTTCTTGGGATGGCTTGAGCCCTGCGAACAAGCTAGCTTCCAGTTGTTTCTATGAGGCTGGTCTAACAGAGTAAACAGAATACAAGACTATCTACTAGAAGGAAGAAAACTAGTTATCTTGAAATGCTTATTTAGCATGTGTTAAGGACTTAACACAAGCTTTTGAGTCCCACAACCGGTCCTTTGAGCTAGGCAGCATTATCACCCCTTTACAGAGAAGAAAAACTGTCGTTTAGCAGGTTAAATAGCATGCCTTACCTCTTACAGCAAGAATATTGTAGAGCCCTTGCTTTTGAGACCATACTAAGTTTGGGTTGCAGAGCTGTGGCAAGGGAGAGAGACAATTACTTAGCCCTTCTCTAGGTTATGAGATGCTCAGGACCATCCTAGAGGGTATGAGCAAAGGGACTGTGGACTTCCCCTCCATATCCTCACTCATTTGGCCACCCTTGCCATTTGGATTAAGGCAAAACCAGTTTAAGTGACAGATCAAGGGCAGCATTTGAGGTTCCAGAAGCCCCTAGAGACACAAAGGGTAACCTCCCTCCCCACACACACACTTTGCTTTGGTCATTGGTGGGTTAATGGAAGAACTCCTGTGTATCTGACTTAGGCCTTTTTTTAGCACCATCTGGCAGGAGCCACATCTTGCACCTGCTGTCTCTAGGAACCTTTGCTCATTTGTCAGTCAGCAGTGCAAGAGGCAGAAATGTGGTGCCTTTGTAATTTGCATTCAGTGTACCTTAGGGATGGCTGTGTTCTATTGTGTCCTAAGAATGGCAGTTCATATCCACTGCTGTGGTTTATGTGGAACTATGAGATACAAGAGAAAGGCAAAAAACATAAGTCCATTCTCCATTTTCAATTTTAAAAAGTCTTGAACTTAACTAGAGACATTCCCAAGATAAGGCAAACTAGTAAGGACCCAGGTATTTTTTAGTAGTTCTTCAAAACCCAGGGCTTTGTAGGTAAATATTCCTTGGATTGGATCAAGGCGCACGCAGTTCCTGTGTTTCAGATCATAAAGCAGATGAGCCTAGTTGAGCCAGGGCCACTTTAAATGGAGAGTGGTTTGTTTCTTCCTTTTTGCTGCCAAAGAAGTCCTTCCTGTCCTGACTCATACTAACATACTTCCTGAAACCTACAAGGCATGGGTGCTCAGGCACTTAAAGTCAAATTGGAGAAATATTTTCTGTTTTGTCAATATAGCCTATACTCAAGTGACAGGGAATAAGTTTGTTTCAGACCAGTGAAATCCAGATGTAACAGATGATTAGCTATCCATGAAAGTAAATCTATAAATAGTTTGTAAATCTGTTGTCTAGAAGTTTGAAGACATCCCAAACACTGATCAGATATCTGAAAGCAAGCTCAGGAAGGGCTGGAAAGTGGTTAATTTAGGTTAAATCTAATTATTTGTGATATAAAGCAGTTTGGAGAACCAAGGAGTTTGGTCATTCTTTGAAGTGTAGAAGTATCTTCTGGCACTGCCTAAGGAAGGGCAGGTCTTGACTTAAGGAGATTTGAACTCCATGATTTCCTTGGTCAGACTGTACCTGTAGCAGAGAAAAGGGGCCCTGCCCTAAAGGAGCAATGTTTCTCTAGGTTGGTTCCTTTTATTCTAAGTCCATATTTACTAAGCAGCCTTTACTTTAGCCCATGAGGAGAAGATCAGACAGGCCAAGTCAAGCATTTCAGTCCATTAAAATATCCACTATTCCTTGCTGTAAATCAAACATTGTCAATTTGGTTTGTATGCCATTCAGCCTCTGTGTGAATTCAGTTTAATATATGTTTGAGAGATGGGTCCCCTCACAGTGGGCCAGCCTGAAAGTATAAGGCCCAGATCTGGGTCCTTGCTGAAATTCATCAAGTACTCCCTAGTGGGGACCTGTGAGAAGGGTAGGATAGGAGGAGGGAAAGCAGGAGCAGGATCCAGCTTTGCCAAGGAAATACTACCCTTGTCTTATTGTTGACCTTCCTGTTGCTATTGCATTCAGGAAAGCTGTATTATCAGCACAAGGCAGAGAATGCTAAATTTTAGATGAGTGACATAGGCATTGAGTGATATGGATTCAGAGGAAGGTGGAGGGTCAAAGATGGTGCTACCAAGGAGGACAGTGGATTTGCCAAATGGATACAATTTCAGTAGGTGGAGAAGAAAAACCCATTGCCACTTCAGTGAAGTTCCCCTCTAGAGCTGATGTAAAATATACAGTCATCTGATCTCGTAGCTGCTAGCTGCTAAGCCAAAGAAAAAACACTTGTGTCAGAAGAAGGAGTGGTAGGTTCCAGAGAAAAGGAAAAATCAACTGTTCATTCAACAATTTGTTTATTCAACATTTACTGAGTATGTACTATGTGCCAGTCACTTAGCTGGGTGGGGATACAGAACTCAAACAAACAAAAGCTTTAAAAAGTTTACATTTAAACAAGCAAAAGCTTTAAAAACTTGAAAAAGTTTACATTCTAGTGAGGAGAGAGAAAGACTGGAAGGAGGGAAAGAAGGGGGGATGGATAATGCAGTATATCAGGTGTGAGATAGAATTAAATGAGGGTGGGGAGGTAGGATATGATGAGGTGTTTTTCCTCCAAATTTTAAAGTATTATGTGCAAGTTAATATAAAGGAATATAAGTATATGTTTACATACATATAATATATAGTCTTTGATCATCTTCTGTGAGTTGGGGGAGGTGACCACGCTGTGACACACCAGGAGGTCAAATCTGTGGCTATGACTCACTGCCTGGAAAAAAATAAACCAAGACCTCTGAATGGAGCATTTTCTTCTGAAAGGCAGGAAAGCCAGGTGCGATGACAGAGGAAAATGGGATTGTACCTTTGACCCTTGAATGTAAACACTATGGTTTTAAGAAAATAAGTGTTGACCTGGTGAGATGTGATAGAGCCAAACAGGGAAGAGGAAAAAAGCTAAAGAAGCACTTTTCCCATCAGGGGGTGGGGGCCAGGGAGTGGAGAGTGGAGGAAACCAGGCTTGGAGGTGGGTGGCTGTGGAATCTGCAAGAGCACGATTCCTCAGGAGGTTCCCTGTTTGCAGATGCACGTGTGAGGCTGGAGATAGTGAAATTGGGGGTAGGATCTCAACCTGCCCACCTTGAGCTCAACAGCAGTATTTTCTGAACCAAGAGTGTCAGAACTATTAATCTTATACTCCTTCTTGGTGCCAGAGGTGAAATTGGGGCACAAAAATATTGGCATTCTCAAGACATTGTGATATGAGCAATGGGACAGAATAGTAGAAGGAAGTAGAGGTGTGGTTGAGGAGGGAAAGATCAAATTTGATACAGTGTGAATACGAGTGTCGAAAGACAGTACATGCTGGAACATGGCTGAGAGATGTACAACAGGTCTCAAAAGTCTGTACTGACCTGCAAAACTTAGATGTCAGCAGTCACCAATATTCTCTTTGAAGCTGGAGAAATGGGGGTACGGGTGGCAATGGTAGCTGAGCTTGGCTCATTCCTGGCTTCACCTCCTCCTCCTTCCTCTCTTTTGTTAATGATATGGCTGGGGGGAAATTAAAGGAGTGGAGGGGGACTTGTGTTTCTGGATGTCATGGTTGCTCCCCAGCTCTGTCCTTGGTCAAGTCTGTCTACCTCTAGGCATTCATTCTAGCTTCTGCTGCATAAGAAGGACTTGAAGTTGTCTCTGTTGGTCTCTCAGGCATAGTGTAAAGACAGAATGCTGGAGGCCCCTTCACCTTTGACCCAGCTTGTGGAAGGACTGGTCACTAAAAGGTAGTTAAGTATCATCCCTTTCTGAATAGTTTTCCCTTTTGCTCCCTTGGCTAAGAAGCAATGGGAATAAGTACAAGAGAAGTTTGATGGGAACCTGAGAAGTGGCATCTTACACAGACACAATAGTGGGAAGTAAAGACCACCAGTTTTATAGTCTGAGTCTGTTTTTGAAGAATCGTCAGGTTGACCAGTATTTTCTGCGTGTGGTATGGTAGTGCCCATGAGAAATAATAAAAGCATCCAAACTCCCTGACCTAAAAATGGCAGTCCCTTCCCCTGTATCATGTACTGACCCTATGTCCACACATTTCTCTCCACTCCCACTGGAATTACATTAGTTCAGTCCATCTTCACACCTCACCTGAATCACCACAGGTACCTACCTGGTCTTCCTGCCTCCACTCTCACCCTCAAGTCTTCCCCTGACATACTGTCTCCTATGCAAACCTGGTCATGCTTCTTCCCTGCCTAAAACCCTTCAATGATTCATCATTGTCTTCAGATGTTTATTAACAAGTAATAAACATATATCGATCATTGTCTGAGGCCTATGGGGGAAAAAACAAGCACAAGACCCAACCTGTACCTTAGCATGATAGCAAGAGCCTCTGTCACCTGGTCCCAATGCCTCCACCCTTGCCTATCTCTTCCACTCCATCCTCCCTCATCCTTTATTCCCCCATCCACACTGAACCATGTAAAACTCTGAGCCATGTTCTCACTCACTCTCTTCTCTGTACATTTGCACAAGTTGGTCCCACCCTCTGTACATTCCTTCTTTTCCCCTTCCCCTGGGTAATTCCTACTTACTCTTCAGGTGTTCAATTCAGGTGTTACTCTTCCCTGACTTTTTATATGCCACCATACTTGAACCAAGGTAGGACATAACAATGACAAGAGCAGTGACCATCTGTACATCCATCACAGTACCTTACTGTACCTGTTGGTTTTCTTTGCTCTCCACCATGAGACTGAACTTCTTGAAGACAGGGAATTGAGTCCTATTCACCTTCACATACCTAACTCCTAGCATAGTACTTGAAACTTCAGAGGTGCTCTATAAATGTTTGTCAAATGTGTAAGTAAATAAAAATGAATGAATGAGTGCTTCTCTGATCCCAATCTTGACATGACAAGCCTGGAGAACAGGGCCTTGGCCTACACGTACATTTAATGGATCCTCTCATCCTGTGTTTCCCCCAGGGAGATAGCTTATACTGTTCAGTGTATAGCCTTAATCTGTTTTGCTGAATTTAACTGCTTATATTGTTCAATGACAATTGGCAAAGCCCATGGCATTGGGGAACTCATGGGTGATCTTCAGAGTAAGAGGTAAAATGGAGCCTATCACTTTATGCAGTAATGCTTGTACCCCAAGTTTGTCAAAGGCTGTTTGTTGAAGACAGGGACCTATCTGGTCAGAATCTGTATGGACCCTTCCCCAGGCGAGATTCCATGAATCAGTTCATGCCCTTGTGTTCCCATGTTCTTCACCTGGAAGAAAAAAATACCTGTTGTTAATGGGAATGGGTAATTTTCATATCTGCTTTTGAGTTCTCCTTTGTGAGCTGACAGATTGCTGAGCCTCTTAAGGACATGATCTGACAGCTTCACATCAGTCAACTGTCTTACATTTTTCAGTGACAAAACAGTGTTTCAAGCCAGGATGTCCTGACAGGAAACCTGAGTGACATAATGATCCTTCTTCCTGCTGATGTGTTTTGTGTGGATATGTGGAAGCCACAATGGTGCGGTAGCTTCTTGCTGCCTCTTACAGTCTGTGGTGTTTGTATTCCTCAACCTGGTTGGGGTTTTCCTCTGAGAATAAGCCAGTACAGGATGAATCTCACAGTATCATTCCTGGTGACATTGTACGTGTGTAACAGGGAATGGACTTTGTCTCTATGGGGCCTTCTGCTCCACATTCCCAGCAAATTGAACAAGCTGGGTGGTGGTGTTCTGGCCCAGTACTCTCAGGAGAGATAACAGGCTGTGGTTCTAGACACCTGAATCCCTGCCAAGTTCAGCATTGCCATGAATGACTTGCTTTTAGACTCACATTTGATTTAAGCAGAACCTTTCATTGAACACACCTGGCATACATACATCTCCAATTTCCTTCACAGTAACCAAGGAATTCTAGCTAATGAAAGCTGAAAGCTATGACAGTGTTACAACTAAATTAACATCCTGAATTACATTACTTAGAGTTTGAACTCTAGCTATAATCTTTGCAATATAAAAGCTATTTCCCCAAAACCTTAAAAAAGGAAGAAGAGAAAGCCATTCCTATAAATCATATTTCTGACCATAGCTGACCATGAAAACATCTATGACTCAGCAATATAGCTGCTACTTTGCAAATGGATTTAAAGAACAAAACAAATGAGTGCAGACACATTTATGAATTGATGGTGTCCTAACAGATTATTAGAGATTGGGGGCAGGAGCTGGGGTCTCATGTTTGTTTCTATACGCAGCACGGGACCTCAGCCAGCCATGGATACACATTAGGTGTCGATTAAGAGTCACTGAATTACTAAATGGAAATTTACTGGGGCTCTGCGCTGCAGACTCCACACACAAATAGACTTGCCCCGTGGGATTCTTAGCAAGAGCAGATATTTCATGAGAGCTGTTACTTCAGTTGATTGGTTAGACAAAGTGAAACCAAGGGATTCTGTTTTAAAACTAAATACACTTACTCTGCTAAATTTCACAACTGGGATGTTCTGCTTTAGGTAGGTGTTGGACAAAATGACCTCTAAATTGAGATTTGTGGGTTTAGGAAAATATGGGTTGTTGTTTTTTTTTTTACGACACTGAGAACTCAGCAGGAAAGCTGGCAGGAAGTCAGACTGCGGTCCTTGCCTGAGAGGATGACACAGGCCAAAGGAGAGAAGGAAAACAACAAGGCAGCCAGTTTGTCAGGCATTTTGCAGAGTTTTTCAGCTTTCCAGGTTTTTCTGGAAAACGGAAGAAAAGAAAGAGCATAAAGGGCAGAAGGGATTGGTTAGCAGCTGGATTCAGAAATGCTGATGAGTGGATTTGCCTATTGGTTTTGTTTTTCTAAGAAGGGATAAGGGAAGAGGTTGTACTTGGCCTGAGCTGCTTGCTGGCAGGGCAGTCTCCCCTGGTCCGTGTGCTGACACTGTCGATAGAGCCACTGGAGGAGCCAAGAGCCTCTGCGCTGCAGTCTCATTGAAAAGTGGACGCAGTCTGCTCTGCAGAGATTTCTAAGGCATGTAGAAGAGTAGAAAGGACAGGAGGAGTTTTGTTTTGCTTTTAAAATGTTTATTTATATTCACTTTTCTGGATAGGTGACTCAAAACTAAAAAAATATAAAAAGGTGTATACCAAAAACACTTTCTCCTATTCCTGTGCCCCCCCTCTATCCATTTCCCACACCCCAAACTGATAACCCTGTTTTTAGGTTTTTTGTTTATCCTTCTTGTTGTTTTTATCTGTATACAAGCTAAAACAAATGTATACTTTTCTTTATTCCATTCTAATATAAATGCTACTATGGTATATACACCTTATACACCTTGTTGGGGTTTTTTTCCCACTTAACACTATACCTTGGTAACATTTCCTCATCAGTATATAGAGAGCATTCTCATTTTTATTTTATGGCTGCAGAGTTTTACAGTATGTGGATGTACTGTAATTTAACTGGTTCCCACTGAGGGACATTTAGGTTATTAGCAGCTAGAATTTCTAGAACAATATTTTAAAATAATAAGCATTATTTCCATGTTCTAGACCTGATTTTAAAGGAATAACTCTAGAATTACTCAATTAAATATAATCAGGCTATTGGTTCCAGACTTACACAATCTATGATTTTCTGATCATAAAGAGGTCTTCTATCCATTGCCTTTGCTTCTAGATTTGAAATTACTTAGATCAGTGTTTAAACAAGCAAACAAAAAAAGCAACTGTTAACAGCCTTTCCTGCTTTGTTTTGCCCTGCCTACTGAATTGTTACTTTTAGGGCTTAGACCCAAACAAGAGGCTCCTACACTGAAACCTGTACTTTAGAGGACCTCACATATCATAAACATAAAATAAAAAATTATTTAAAGAACTCATGAAAATCTTTGTCACCCAGGACCTGGTACTCAGTGCCAGCCCAGTTGTACTCACAACCCTAAACCTTCACTCTTATCACTATATTCAGACCTCCAGAAACCCTATTCCCCATCTGTTAACCTGTGTCCTCAAAACCAAAGGGCAGTGCATTTGAATGCTATGAAGGTTATGGGTTGTGTGCTTCTATGTTGGAAGACTGCTTTGGGGTTCAGGGTGGATATGAGGAATAGACTACTTAGTTAAGAGAAAAAACAAATTAACTTGTTCAATCCTTTTCAGACAGTAGGTATATTAGTTTCCTATTGTTGCTATAACAAATTACCACAAATTTAGTGCTTAAAACAACAAAAGTTTATCATCTTACAGTTCTGGGGATCAGAAATCCTAAAATCAAGGTGTTAGCGGGTCTGCATTCCTTCTAGAAGCTCTAGAGAAACTGGTTCCTTGCTTTTTCCAGCTTGAAGCTACCTATATTCCTTGGCTTGTGACCCCATCCTCCATTTTCAAAGCCAATGATGTAGCATCTTCCAATCTGTCTGTCTTTCCCTCCCTGACTTTCCTGCTTCTCATAAGGACCCTTGTGATTACGCTGGGTAATAATCTCCCCATCTCAAGATCCTTACCTTAATCACACCTTCAAACTCTCTTGCCATAAAAGGTTAACATATTTACAGGTTTCCAGGATTAGGATATGGCCATCTCTAGGGAGCTATTTTTAGAATACCATGACAGAGATAAAACAGATTCTTACAAAATAAAGTATGGTTTCCCAGTAGTACAGAACATCAATTTTTTTCCCTCTGGTTCTAATTCACAGTTACAGAGGTACTCAAGAAACAGCAAATATTCACAGCATTGTACATGACAGCTGAGGAAATGGCCTTTTTCAGTATTAAAAAGATGCATTCTTAAATTTATGCATATGTAACTGTAACATGCATGATTCTCTGTAAATTAGATATATATGGTATCTTAGAATTGTAAGTGATTCTAGATTTATAGAAATATGTCATATTTAAGCTTAAAAAATATTTGGATTTATTTTAATAATTCTTATTTGAATATTTGATATTCCACAACCATTGTGGAAAGCAGTATGGAGGTTCCTCAAAATGCTCAAAATAGAAATACCATTTGACCCAGGAATTCCACTTCTAGGAATTTACCCCAAGAACGCAGCACTCCAGTTTGAAAAAGATAGATGCACCCCTATGTTTATCGCTGCACTGTTTACAATAGCCAAGATATGGAAGCAGCCTAAATGTCCATCAGTAGATGGATGGATAAAGAAGATGTGGTACATACACACAATGGAATATTACTCAGCCATAAGAAAAAAACAAAATCCTACCATTCGCAACAACATGGATGGAGCTAGAGGGTATTATGCTTAGTGAAATAAGCCAGGCAGAGAAAGACAAGTACCAAATGATTTCACTCATATGATGGAGTATAAAAACAAAAGAAAACTGAAGGAACAAAACAGCAGCAGAAGCACAGAACCCAAGAATGGACTAATAGTTACCAAAGGGAAAGGGACTGGGGAGGACGGGTGGGAAAGGAGGGATAAAGGTGGGAAAAAAAGGAAGGGGGCATTACGATTAGCATGTATAGTGTGTGGGGGGGCACGGGGAGGGCTGTGCAACACAGAGAAGACAAGTAGTGATTTTACAGCATCTTACTATGTTGATGGACAGTGACTGTGAACGGGGATGTGGGGGGGACTTGGTAAAGGGGGGAGCCTAGTAAACATAATGTCCTTCATGTAATTGTAGATTAATGATACCAAAATAAAAACTTAAAAAAATATTTGTATTTTAATAATTCTTATTTGAATATTTGATATTCATTTATTATAACATTTGCATTTTAATAGACACTTAAAATGTCTAAATTTGTGAAAAATGAAATTTTTTATCTTTAATTTTATACTTTATATTTTATGAGTTATTCAGATTTTTTATAACTTAAATACAATTACATTTTAATTTTTAATCCTAGGTCAGCATATGCAATAAAAATATAATGCAAGTTACAAATATAATCTTGAATTTTCTGTACTAGCTACATCTTAAGAAGTAAAAGAAATAGGTGTAGGTGAAATTAACTTTAATTTATTAACTTTAGTTTATCTTATAATCCAATGTATCAAAAATATTACCAATTCAACATTTTATCAATATAAAAATTACTGAGTTTTTTTTGTAGTGAGTCTTCAAAATCAGTATGAATTTTACACATGCAGTAAGCACATCATTGGAAACTTTGCCTCTAATGAACACAAGAAAAAATAATTTTCTCTAATGAATATAAACACATCATTTTATGGAATGTCTGATAATTTAAGAATTTTGTGTGTCTTTATTACTCATTACTTTCTGAGTCTATCAAATTATATCCCAACATATGTCAAAGTAATTAAATTCAGTCAACTCTAGTATTTTGTACACTTTCAGTCATATAAAAACCAGTTTCACTCATCCTTAACAATTTTGTTTTTATGAAAGCATGTCAGATATGGTATATGGGTCTCCATTTGTACTTTCTCCCCGAGCCCCACAAGTGGCATGGGTGGGTCTGATTACTTTCTCTCCACTTTATGATGGTGCAATTGGCGGGGAGAGGCTTCAGGCAGCATAGGAGCTCTCTATGATGGTGCTTACCTGTGTGCACTCTTATTCCTGAACATCTTTCCACATTCCCTCTATGATCTCCTCAACCTCTTCCCTTTCAGTGAAGTAAATATTATTGACTAAATAAATTAATGTATTATTTTTGCCATCTATAAGGACTTTCACATATATATGTATTTGATGTACAGTCAACCCCATGAGGTATAGCAAATAGCAGATAAGGACACAGGCAGAGAGAGTTTAGGTGACATGACCGAAGTTTAACAATAACCAGGGCTTCTCATTTTAAGTTCTTGCTCTTTCTACTTCATTTTGTTGCTGCTCTAGATAAGGCTCTGTGCTAGGCTCGGGAAGATGAAGCCATGGGAAGTCAACTTTTCTTGCTCACAAGTGGTTGATTCACTAAGACAGGAAGACAAAACAAGATATGTGGATCTCAGAGGGTACACATCTACGGCTATGGTTCTTTAGAAAAGAAAAAAATTCCACCTATTTGGGAGAAGAGAAAGGCCTCATGGAATAGGAAAGATTTGGTTTGGGCTTTGATTTGGATCAGGAGAAACAGGAGTTAGGGAAGCATGTTAGGTAGAGCAAACAACATGAGCAAAGGAGAAAATAGTAGCTCCATTTGGCTAAAGCTCAGACTCTGTGTTCAGGAATAATAGAAAATGTGGGGAAGAACAGGGCTGTTTTAATGAAGCCTTAGGATGTTAGGTTTGGGATTCTGCATTTTATGCTGGTGACCCCCCTGGTGGTAAACCCCTGAAGACTTTTCAGGCAAGAAAAAGGCATGTGGGGAGGGGAGCTCTTCATTAAAAGGAGAGAAAATCAGAACCACGGAAACTGAAGAGGAGGCTATTTAGCAGTCCACGGGAGACTCAGCTAGGTTGGTGGTGGAAATGGAAATAAAGAGACATCTTTGGGACACAGCATGGCTCTAGTCTATAGAAGTCGACCATTGATTGGCTATGGAAGGGCAAGGGCATGGCTAGAGTCAAACAAACCAAACTTTTTATCCTGGATCCTGGGGAAAAGAGTGTTTCCGTTCACATGAGCTCTGAAGTCAGGAGGATGAGGTGGTCAGGAAGAGGAGTGAGGCTGGATGGGGTAGGGATGATGGGAAGCTGAAGATTGGTTTTTTGGGCCTTGTTAATTGACTAGTGGGATAATCAAGTAGAGATAACTGGTCAGATGTTGGAAAATCAGTTGTGGAGCTCAGCAGTTAGGGGTGGGGGTGAAGGTACTTCTGAGCTATGGTGGTATAGGAGTTATGGGAGCGAAGACATTCAGGAGATAAGAACAGGACAAAAAGAAAAAGCCACAGGAGATGTCATCTTTGAGAACTCAGAGTAAGAAGGGGAGGAAGTGGGAAGGTGGAGGAGTGACCAGGGAAAGGGGAGACCCTTTGTGAGTGATGAACCTGAAAGCAGAGACAAGGTGTCTTATCCTCCTGTCCCCACACCCACCACCATACCTGGCAGACAGGCACGCAATGAATGCTTGCTGATTGGGTGAACAAACAGATGAATGAATGAATGAGTCAGAAGAGAGAGAATATATCCAAAAAAAGGAAAAGAGGATTTTTCAGGTCATTAATAATATAAATGCTGCTGACAGGAAAAAGGCAGTGTTAGCAAAAAGGAAGTCCTCAGCTTTCTTGCTCTTCTTTTTCATAAACCTCAAGTGGTCACAGGAACAGTGTACAGTGGAGCAGAAGATGACTAAAACTGCCAATAGGAGAGAACTCTCCCAGGGAAGAGATGGGCCCTAAAGACATCTGGGACGGCCGCTGTTGGAGAGACACCAGTGAGCCAGGCCAGTGCTTCCCAAGCAGCTGAAGCTTCCTTTGTTGGCTCACGCAGTTGCCAATGTTTGGGTGCTGGGCCCCTCTGAGTCAGGAAAGAATAATTTCTCATCCTTTGATTAAAATGAGAGACCTGTGTTGGTTTCTTTTATTGCTGGGTTTCCAGTGAGTGGGGTGGGCAGGGAACACCCATGTATAGAATCTAGCCTTAGGTGGAATGGGGCAGGTTGGTCCCTGAACTTTAAATGAAGGCATTCTCAGCACTGGCTTCATATAGAAGTATCTTTTTCTGAACCTACAGAAGGCTGTGGGTTTTCCCTCCAAGGCAGGAGTCTGGAAGTGCCCCTGAAAAGTCTCTTAAATCCTACCCACACTAGGATTACTTGTGATACAGTAAAACAAGAGTTGAAGGAAGGGCAAAGGGTGAAACCCCAGGTCTGCTCCCAATTAACTACACCCTCTCTCCCATTTGGGTCCCTGACAGTCTAGGAACTTTCTGGAAGTGAGTGCAAAGAGGAAGAATGGGGAAACCCAGCAGTAAGAATGGCTGGGTGCCTACAGAGACCCCCATAATGTCTACTTTTACCTCAGAGCTTAGACTGGCCCTCAGCCTTGCCAGGCTCAAGACCTGATTTACTAATGCATCAAGAATGGATCAGCAGTCTGGGGGCTGACTCATTAACCTAGTTCTCACTCATTGATACATATGCAGAGATACTATTTTGATCCCCTAACCAATGTGTTGTTTTCCTCTTAATTTTCTGTTACCCTGTAACCTCACTCCCCTTGAGATGGAAGCACCATGAGGCATCTTTTGCCTCAAGGCACCACTGTAGGGCAGAAGTACCACAGTAAACGGAAGACTAAGGACTTGGATCACAGAGTTCATCCCCCACCCACCACTAGGTCCAGTTTTCCCAGACAGGGAGATGCGCACTGCCTCTGGGTAGCCTGGCACCTCTTGAGGGCACGCCTCCACCATCCCCATACCTGAGCACACAGCAGTAACTAGCAAACAAAAACACCATCGGTTGAGAAAGCGACTGCAGAAAAATGGAAAAGTTTTTTCCTTCTTTTATGGAAAAGAGGTCCCACAAATTATGTAGCTGACCCCATTGGCAAATAAAGCATTCCTGAAGGAGTTAGAGGTCAAGAATATTCTGGGGCATTGTGGCTTAAGTAAGAATATAAGTTAACCCTGCCTAAATTTTGAACAATGCTGGGGCTATTTCAAGCCATATGAAATGTCAACACTAGTGTACAGGATTGTTTACACTATAAATGTCAACACTATTAGCAAAGCAAATACAAAGTGACTGCACATGTGATAAGGAAAAACCTTGGTAGAAGGTGTCTGTTGGCTGTTCAGCTTCATTTGGCTAGAGGAAAAAGGTGGGTAGAAAAGGCTGTCTGGCTAGTTCTCCCTGGAAGCAAGAACCAGCTTGTTTATCCTGATAATCTGGCATCAGATCCATCAAGACTTCAGAAAAATCTTGATTTGAAAAGGGAACTGATCTCATATCTTCAATATTAGGTGCCACCAAATTCTGTTTGTTACCAATTTGTTACACCCATGTGTTTATTTTTATTCATTCCGAAGAGAGTTCAACTTCCTTCAGATTTTTTTTTCACATCTCCTTTTTTGAATTTCCCATTCATATTCCTCTTTATTTGCAAGCTCTCCTACATATCAAAAATAACACTGTTTGTCACTTGCGTTGCAAATAGGTTTTCCCAGTTTGTCCATTGTCTTTTAACTTTATCCTTCTGTGTCTCCCAGTCACATTATCTGACGGGCATGAATGAAGTCACACTAACAGTAATACCAAATCTCATTAATTCAGAGTAATAATCACCAAATATACCACTAATAACTGAGCATGTACTAAATATTTCACGTGCCATTATTCTTATAATTACTCTATAGATTGGGTATTGTTAGTTCCACTTTATAGATGAAGAAATGGATAAGCGTGGGTACTTAATTTGCCCTATCACAGTTAGTTAAGGGATGGAATATGGGTCTTGATTCCAGACCTAACACCTAAGCCCCAAGTTCCAACCCTGCGCTGTCCAATACTGTAGCCATATCTACTGAGCATTTGAAATTTGGCCAGTGTGATTTCAAAGACTTAAGTGTGTAAGAAAGAATAGGAGATATCTCATTGTTAGTTTTTAAATTAATTACACATTAAAATCGTATTTTGAATTCATTGGGCTAAATATTTTACTATTTTTTTTAACGTGGCTACTAGAAAAATTTTAATATGAATCACATATTTCTAGTGAAAGAATAGCTCTAACCACTTTACTATACTGCCATCCTTAACTTGGGTGAAGACAGTCTTCATAGTCCTTTTAATCCTTTCCAGTTACATCGCTGTTGTCATCTTTTAAATTTGTTGTTAAATTAAAACCTCCAGTTTTGTTTTTTACATTAATTAAAATCATCCCGGGGCCTCACTTTCTTCAACATTCTTAGTTCCCTCCGCTCGTTGTCACACACCCGGGTCTTGTCATACAGATTGGATATTCTCCAGTGTCTTTGTCCCCCTCTACCCGCCAAGGTATGAACACGGCTACTGCAGAGTTCAGGAATATGAAAAGTTCCGAGGTGGTCAGTGGCTATGGTTGCACAACCATGTGAATGTACTTAGTGCCACTGAACTGCACACGTAAATTTGGTTAAAATGGTTAATTTTATGTACGTTTCCACAATAACTTTAAAAAGGAATTAAATTCTCATATATATTACACCATGCATGAAACTTGAAAACATTATGCTAAGCAAATAAGCCTGACAACTATTGTATGATTCCACTTATGAGATATCTACAATACGCATATTCGTAGAGACACAAAGTAGACCATTAGTTACCAGGAGCTGGGGGATGGGGAGCAAATGGCTGCGCGGAGGAGAGCTGTGGGAATGGGCGCCACGTGGGCGCGGCGGCGGCAGGGAGAGTGGCCCGAGGGCCAGCGCGCAGGCGTCTTCGGGCGGTGAGCAGAGGCCGCCTAGGCCCAGGGAGAGGAGCGCGGCCGCCGGCGCACCTCGACCGGGACCAAAGGGCCGAGGCGGGCGGGGCTGAGGAACGGCTGGCGCAGCGCTCCATCCTTTCTCCCTTCCTCCTTTAACAAAGGGCCCCGAGGCCCGCGCGCCCGGCGAGCCCGCCCCGACGCGCACCCAGCGGAAATAACCCGTAGCAGCGTCGTGGCGGGGGGCCCTGTGACCCCGTGCTACTCGGGCTGCGCCCAGGATCAACCGTGCCGCACGGTCTTTCTCTCCGAGCCTGAGGCCTTAGAGGTTTTTTTGGTTTTGTTTTGTGTTTGATCCTTTCATTTTATAAGTACTAAGGCTTTCCCCGCCTCTCATCTTCCGCTATCCCAGTGTAGCCGGCGTTAAGTATATACTTCCGTAATTTTCTCCATCCTCCACGCCCCGGTCGAAACGGACACGCGCGCACAGGCGGGGTCTCCTTTTGTTTTCTAAAATGGCACCGTGTAACGCGCCCTGCGCATTTTCTTTTCTGAGTCCACCGAGGAAGCTGTATATTTAAGCTGGGTCCACTGTTAACGGCTGAAGGCACCTCAGTGCATGTGATAAGTCTCATGTTGACGTCCTTTGTTTCCTGTGTTTGACCACCATAACCGGTGCTGCCATGAGTATACAGCCCCAGTGCCAGAACAATTCCCGTTTCACCAGGAAGGTCTGAGAACTGTTTCTCCGCAGGCCCACGAGCACTTTGCCGGTGGTGCGACGGTGAAACCAGCCCTACACGAGCGCCTACCTCGGCCTGCCTCGGCCGCCGGGGGACACCCCCCACCACCACCACCACTCACCGGCTGCGCGCGCTCCTCTTCCGGCCCCCTCCCCCCACGTCCCCTCTGCGGCTGCGGGAGGCCGGCCTGGCTGCCTCCGGGGCCTCCGAGCTCTCTTCCCCTCCCCCTCGCGTTTTCAATATCATTTTCCAAGGGTTCGCTAATCTCCCCGTCCTAAGGAAGAACCAACCCGCTACTCCATTCTGTTCTTTCTTTCCGGTTACTACACAATTTGGAAAACTTCTAATTACTTTGCTGTTATTAGATACTATGTGCCCATGGCATCTAATCCAGAGGTACAATATAAACAGGAAAGACTGCTAACCACCCATTTCCCTCCCCCAAGGTCACGACTGATAACACTTTCCTGATATTTTTCCAGAAGACTTTCAGCAGTATATACGTATTTCGCAAACAGCAGCGTGAGGTGCAGACGACTGCACTTCCCCCAAACTCCTGTAAGTCCGCCTGCTCTCTGGCTTCTCATCAACTTCTCGCTCACCCTCCCCTTCTGCCTTTCTCACGACACTGACGCTGCTTTCTCTAAGGGGCTGAAAATTCATGTCTAGTTCCTTTCACCCCATATCTGATCAGGTGCTAGGAGCTGATAGTGCACCCTTTGAAATATTTATTCCTCCAGTCCCTTCTCTTTGTTCCTCTGACTCCACCTTCTTCAGGCCTCATTTGTCACATTGCCAAGCCACTGAAATAGCCTCCTCCTGCCCTTCCTCTCAAAAGGTCTGGTGTTGATCCCTTATCTTACCACTGGTTACTGATCCAGCATAGCAAATGCTATTCCACGGAAGGGTCCCTTAGTGTCAGGAGATTGATAAAGTGTATTGCATAGGGGGAGTACTAGCCTGGATGACCGACCAGAGGCCCGGGTAAGACCTGAACCCTGCCCTTTTCTTGCATGGTACCGTTTTCAAATCGCTCCACATCTCTGGTTTCCTCACGGATGATCTCCAAGACCCTTCTGGCTCTAGCGTCTGAAGCTGCAATTACAACTCTGTTCCCCATCTCCTGTTCCCTGCCCTGGCCCCTTACCCAGTCAGCCAAACTTCCCTTTCCCTCTCACTGTGCCTCCCACACCTGTCCCCCAAATCTGTTCTCTACATTGCGCTCTCTCTAGAGTGATCCTTTAAAAGCATAAGTCAGGTCATGTCTACTTCTTATTCTGAATATTCAGATCGTACTCATCTTTGAAGACCGGACTTTTAGTCATTGTTTTTCTCAAAAAGCCTTCTGCAGTGTTTCCCAATGAGAGGAGCCCTTTGACCTTGCAAGGCTGCTGTCAGTAACACTTTATCTGTATCTCACTAGTGACACCAACCACTGTGCCTTGTAGAGTTGTTACACACCTGTCCTTTTACCACCATCCACTTTTCCCCCACAGTCCTTAGTATATTACTTTGTACATGATAGAGGATATAGTTTTGGGAGTCCCAAAGTCCCAGCTCTGACACCAGATCATTGTGTTACCTTGAATATGTCACATAGCATTTCTGAGCTTCAATTCCCCAGATATAATGAAAATAATAACCTATTTCATAGTGTTGTGTCAATTAGATGAGATAATGTATGAGGAGGTGCTTTGTGAACTGAATCTATCTACATGGTTGATGATAATAGTAAAGATACTATTACTCAGATACTGGCAACAGTGATTGCTTTTCAAAGCAGAATTTTAAAAAGTGGGAAAAACTGGAAAATGGGAGTTTTTCATCTTGGTTGCAGTCTCAGAATGGAGACTGCATTCTAATTATTCCCTTTATATCAATTACCAGATGGTCTTAAATATAATAATAAAAACTAAAAATAATTTAATGGGAAATGATTAAATTATAATGGGCATAATGCAGGGTCATCAAAGTATATTTTCGAAGAATATTTAATGATATGGGTAACTAATAGTATAAAAATTTTAAAAGCCAGATGCAAAATATTGTGTGTAGAGAGGAGGTGTAAGAGGGGAAGAAGCTTTTTCCCATCACTCTTCATAGCTTTTTATTAGACCTCCAAATGGGGTACCTGGTGCCAGAGAACTGGGGTGTATTCCAGGGCCTCTTGCACAAATAGCTCACTGTCTGCCACCCAAAAGTCAGGGATTCAGGACAGATGAACCAGGAGCCTCATGCCTCAGGGGAAGCCATGGCCTGTCCCAGATCCAGGGACAACCTTTAGCCTGCCTCTCTGTCTCCATGGCCTGACATTCCAGGGTCTTCTCTGCATTTTTTTTCCCATCTGGACTGTGGACTTGGGGCAAATAGCACGTCCCAGGACCTGCTTTGACAGTTTCCAGAGTGAGTTAAGGGAAAGGCTTCCTGCAGCCAAAAAGACTCCAAGTACAATTAGAGAACTAAGCTCCAGAAGGAGGGGCCACAGGCCATAGGAGTGAGCAAAAAATGAGTGGTCACCGATGATTAGGAAAGCTCAGGGGACTCCAGAGTGAAGGTGGCATTTATGCTGACCATGAAAGGATGGTAGGAATTTGGTAGGTGGAGATATCATTAAAACTGTATGGTTATTATCTTACCCACATTTCACATGGGGGACAGGGGAAAAGGAGAGGGAGGGAAGATGTTGTATTTAAAATATCCTGTCCCCCTTACTACAACTGTTACTTTAGAAATTGTGGAAAATAAAAAGAATAAAGTGTCCTATAATCCTCTCAATCTAGAGCAGTGATTCTCAACCTGTAGTGATTCTCAACCCTGCTGGTACACTAAAATATATGAGCTTTTTTTTCCCCACCTGATCTGGTTTTTATTTTTTATTAAGATATAATTGATATACAATCTTATGCTCAGGTTTCACATGAACAACATTGTGGTTACTACATTTCCCCTGTTATCAAGTCCCCACCACATACCTCATTATGGTCACTGTCCATCAGCATAGTAAGATGCTATGGAGTCACTACTTGTCTTCTCTGTGCTATACTGCCTTCCCTGTGCCCCCCTTTATTATGTGTGCCAATCATAATGCCCCTTAATCCCCTTATCCCTCCCTTCCTACCCACCCTCCCCAGTCCCTTTCCCTTTGGCAACTGTTAGTCCATTCTTGGGTTCTGTGAGTCTGCTGCTGTAAAATCTGGGGAGCTTTTAGGAAATGCCATAATGAGTTGGAGTCCCACTGTACACACACACGCGCACACACACACACACACACACACACACACACACACACACACACAAACAAACCCATATGCTCACCCCACCATTAGCAGATCTGTACCTTCAAAATACATCAAGGATCTGAATACTTCTTACCATTTTCTCTCTGCTATCTCCCTAGTCTAACCCTCTGCCTTTTGCCTGGATTGTAGCTGTAGCCTCCTAACTAGTCAATTTCTATCTCCAGCTCCCACACCTGTCCCCCAAATCTGTTCTCTACATTGTGCTCTCTCTAGAGTGATCCTTTAAAAGGGTAAGTCAGGTCATGTCTCTTCTCTATTCAAAACCCTCCTGTGACCCCCCTGCTCACTCAGTCAAAGGCAAATCCTTAGAATGGCTGCAATGTCCTTTATTACCTGATCTGGCTACTTCACTGACCTTGTCTTCTCCTACTCTCCCCTTTGCTCACTGCACTCCAGCCACACTGTGTCTCCGCTGTTCGCAAACACAGCAGGTAGGTTGCTGCCTCAGGGCCTTTGCACTTGCTCTTCCCTCTACCTAGACTCCTTTGTTGGTTCTCACCTTTCCTTCAGGTCTAGGACAAACATCAGCCCATCAGAGGGGTCTTCCCTGAACATCTTAAATAAACTTGCAAAGTCCTGCCTATCTCCCATACTCCTTATACCCTCTTGTCTGCTTTTCTCTAGGGCACTTCTAATCACCACACCCATATCTTTTTTGTTAATCCTGGGTACCAGACTTAAAATCTCAGTCTTTCCTGAAAACAGCTTTTGTGTTTCTGTCTCAAACCTCTCTCTGCACTGATATTCAACAGTACCACTGTTTGCCTTTCCTCACCTCTAAGCCTGTGTTCCCCAAACTCTCCCTCCTCCTGCCGGGACCTGTCAGTTTAGGGAAATGAACTCCTCCTGCCCGGACCTGTCAGCTTAGGGAAATGAACTCCCAGAGGAGTTGCCAGGCATCTAATCGCGCACGAAGGCCCAGGCCAGCTTGCTAGGGAACTCTCTGTGTTTATCTATTTATTCGTTGTACTTTACACAAAAGAGATCATAATAACATTCCTATTGTTGGATGGTCACGGTGTTTTCCTAGTTTTTACTATTGTCGGCAACCTTGAACACACCCATGACTGTTTCCTTGAGATAAATTACTTAAAGACGAACTATTGAGTCAAAGGGTCCATGATTTTGAGGGCTTCTGGTGCGTATTGCCAATTTTTCCTCCAGTTTATCTAATTATAGTCCCACCAGCTAGATGTGATGCCTTTTATATTCTTACATCCCTAATAAAACAGTATTTATAAAACCTTGAGAGGTGGGAAAATTACATCGTTTTCATTGATGAAATTGGACATCTTTTCATCTATTTCCCCTTTTTTTTATTGGTTTGCCTCTGCCCTTTGCTGTTCTATGGGGATATCAGACTTTATCTTCTCCTGATTTGTAATCATTTTTATATTGAGAATATTTACTCTTTGAAATATGCATGCAAGGTTTTTGTTAGGTTTTTCACCTTTCAATTCTGTTCTACACTTTTCACATAGAAAATTTAGAAATATTTAAAGTTTCTAAATTATTTTCTTTGCAACTTTTGATTTTCATTTCCTGCTTCTAGATGGCAGGTTTTAAATAACCCCCATGATATTCCCTGACAGCTGAGACCTAGTATTAAGTGGAGAGGATTATAAACCTAGACATTCCAGCTCTCAAACCACCTAGTCAATGGCTTTCCAACTTTTTTTTACTGTGATTTGTAATAGAAAATACAAATTTACATCACAAATCACTATACACGAAAGTATTTGTTTTTGAAAATTATTTTAAAATGTTTCATGAAACATCACTTACCCTAACTACACGTGATATAGTCTGATATATTTTGTTTGACTAATTTTATTTTATTCTATTTCATTAAAAAAAAAAGGTGTTGGTCTTGACCCAATAAATTGATTTAATAGACCATCAATGGAGCCTTGACCTAGAGGAGTTTGTTTGTTTATTTATTTATTT